TCATGCCTGTAATCCCAGCTCTGGAGAAGCTGAGGCAGGAAGATTGCTAGCCTGAACTACATAGCAAGACCTTGTCTTTAAAAAAAAAAAAAAGCACAGGAATGGACTTTGTTCAGCTGATGAGAGTTGGACATGAAACTTTGTTAAACTGTGTGAAACTTGTCTGAGTCAAACTGAAGTCACTTGTGTCAAACCCCAGCAATAAATAAGTAAATAAAGCTGGGAGGTTACATGCCTGCCTGCCTGATAACAAAGGACTCTGCCAGCACCACAACCTTACACAGAAATACTTCTGCAAGGACATCTGTCCAGCGACTGCCTGTCCAACCTCGGGCTGACGCCACTCCTTTCTTTTTTTCCCGTACTGAGGATCAAACTCAGGACCTTGCACTTTCGAGGCAGGCCAGGTGACACTGAGCTATATCCCCAGCCCTGACGCCACTCTTGATACCGCTTTATTTTTGCCGTGCTGGATGCTGAGTCTAGGGCCTCACACTGAGCTATATCCCCAGGCCATTTTTTATTTTTTACTTTGAATCAAGGTCTCACTAAGTTGCTCAGGCTGCCTCTTGAACTTGTGACTCTCCTGCCTCAGCCTTCGGAGTGCTGGGATTACAGGTGTGTACAACTATGCCTGCTTGCTTGCTTTTTCTTTCTTTCTTTCTTTCTTTCTTTCTTTCTTTCTTTCTTTCTTTCTTTCTTTCTTTCTTTCTTTCTTCTTTCTTTCTTCTTTCTTTCTTTCTTTCTTTCCTTCTTTCTTTTCCTTCCTTCCTTCCTTCCTTTTTCTTTCTTCTCAGGATTGAACCCAGGGGTCTCACACTGTGCTATATTCCCAGCCTTTTATTTATTTATTTTTTTTGAGACAAGGTCTTGTTAAATAACTAAATCACCCAGCAGAGGCTCAAATCTGAGAACCTCTTGCTTCAGCCTCTCAGAGTACTGGGATTATGCAGGTATATACAACCACTCCCAGCTCCTGTAAGCATTCAGACAAGCTTTTCTGTCCTCTCCACCCAGACTCTTCTATCAGAGGGGAAACACACACACACACACACACACACACACACACACACACACACACACACAACACAGGAGAAAGCCCATGTGGCCACAAAGGAAGATAATAGAGGAGGAGAAATGTGGCTACAGAACATAACAGGCAATAGGAGCAAAGCCAGTTTTTCCCCTAGCGCCCCCAGAGGGAGCATAAATACCCTGCTTACTCCTTGAGTTCAGCCCCGTGATACTGATTTGGGGCTCCTGACCTGTCCATAAATTTCCCTTGTTTTAAGCCAGGAGTAAACAAGCACAAGAAACTAATGTAGCACCCTTTTCCTGCTTGTTTGATCTCCAGGGGAGGACATTCCTTGACCCCCATTATGTGGATGGATGTCCACCCCTTCAGCCAATGCTGGTGTCCTCTCACCCCAAATTCATATTGAAACCCTGTTGCCAAGATGGGGTCTTTAGAGGTGATTGTGTCATGAGGGTGAAGTCCTCCGGTATGGGATCAAGGTCAGCCCTCCGTGTCCTGAGCATTCTGTATCTGCAGATTCAACCAAGTCTGGATTCAACTGACTGCAGATCTAAACGACTCAGAAGGAGGCTGGGGGTGCAGCTCGGTGGTAGAACATTTGCCACCACATATGCACAAGGCCTTGGATTTGATCCCCAGCACTGAAAAAACTTTTTTCAGAAAAAAATGTGTATGTATTGAACATGTACAGACTTTTTTCTTGTCGTGATTTCCTGAACAATACAGCATAATGACAATTTACACTGCATTACATTGTATTAGGGATTATAAGTAATCTAGGGATGATTTGAAGTATGTAGGAGGATGGTTTTAGGTTAAATGCAAATACCGTATCATTTTATTTTGTTTTTATTTTCTGGTTTTTTGAGACAAGGTCTCTCTATGTGGCTCAAGATGGACTTGAACTCACTATGTAGCCCAGGCTGACCCTGAACTCACAGTGATCCTCCTGCCTCAGCCTCCTAAGTACTGGGATTACAGGCCTGCACCACTATGCCAGGCTTATGCCATTTTATATAAAGGACTGGAGAACCCATGGATTTCTTTCCTTTTTCTTGATTTCTTTCTTTTCTTTTTTGAAATAGTCTTACTATGTAGCCCAGGCTGGCCTTGGTCTCACAGTCCTTCTGCCTCAGCTTCCCAAGTGCTAGGATTATAATTGTGAGCCACCATGCCTGGCTGCATCCAAAGGTGTTGGCATATATGGAAGGTGTTGGAATCAATTCTCCTAGATAATGAGGGATAACTGTAGTGTCCTATAAGAGACCCCAGAGAGCTGCTTAGCCCTTTACACCATGTGTGGACACCACTAGAAGTTAGCATCTAGGAGGAAGCAGGCCTTCACCAGACACCAAACCTGCCTGCACCTTGGTCTCAGACTTCTCAGACTCCACAACTTTGAATAATAAATTTCTGTAAAGTACCATAAGCCACCCACTTTATGGTTGTCTTGTCATAGCTACTTGGATGGATTAAACAGCTCCTACAACACTTTTGGGTGACACAGAAATGCTTGATGTGCTGAGCGTGGTGACACATGCATGCCTGTAATCTCAGCACTCAGAAGGCTGAGGCAGGAGGATTGCCACAAGTTCAAGACCAGTCTGGAATGCTGGTTTGGTGTTCATGAAATTTCTCAGATGTTCTTTGTCGTGAAAGTATCTAATTTCCCCATTGATTTTGAAAGAATTTTGCAGGATACAACAGTCTAGGTTGGAAGTTATTTTCTTTTAGGGCTTGAAATACTTCATTCCAGACTCTTCTTGATTTGAGGATTTGTGTTGAAAAATCTGCCGTGATTCTGACAGGCTTTCCTTTTATAGGTGATTTGTTTCTTTTCTCTAACTGCCTGTAGGATTTTGTTCTTCTGTTGGGTTTCTGGGACCTTGATTATTATGTGTCTAGGCATAGATTGTTTTGATCATGGCTAGTTGGAGTTCTATATGCCACACTTATCTGTATATCGAATTCTCTACCTCTGTCTGGGAAGTTTTCTACTATTACTTCTGTGAACAGTTTTTTATGTCAATTGTATTTTCTCCTGTTTTTTCATGGACTCCTATCAGTCTTAAGTTATTCTTCCTTGCATCATCTAGCAGCTGCTGGATTGATTTCTCATGGTCCCTTACTATTTTGAAGAGATCTCTATTTTCATGGTCCTTAACCACAGTCCTGTCTTCTATATCTGATATTCTATCTTCAGATTCCCTTAATCTGCTATGCATGCTTTCAATGGAATGCGTGCTTTTTAATCTCCTGAATATCTGTTTGAATCTGTTTCATGGATTCCATTTCTTTCTTATGTTGGGCGATCATGGTTTCCATTTCTTTCTTATGCTGGGCATTCATGGCTTCCAGCGTGTTTCTGAGCGCATCTATTTTTTTTTAATCTGTTTCTGTTCTAGAGCTTCTAATTATGTCTTTCACTCTGCTCACCATCTCTGTAGTTATCTGGGAGATTATTTCTGCTTTGAATTTTTCTAAAGCCTAATTTATCTGTTTTGTTACTTCCTGTGCTATCACTTCAGGGTGTTCAGGTGGTTGATTATCAGATTTTTCCACCTCGCTTTCCCCAGAAATTGCCTTTTGTGGGGTGGAAGTCTGAGTTTGTGACTTGCTTAAATGTCTTCTCATTTTTGTTTTTGGTACTGTCAGTTATAAGTCAATGAGTCTCAGTAAGCCAGTCACAGACCCGTGAGATTCAGGCAGATTTCTGGCTGCAAGTCCCAAATTGAGCTCCCTGTCCTCCTGCAAGGTTGAACTCTGCAAGGTTCTATTACAGGTTCCAGCTGCCTTTCCCCTGAAGATAGTGCAGGTTCAAATGGGAGGTGATGATCCCTCCAACTTACCAAGTACGGTGGTCTGGTGTGCCTTTATTGCAGAGATTCTCTTCACTTTTCCAGTGGGCTTCAGTTTTCATAAGGGAGCCTAAGAGAGGCCCTCTCTCTGTTGTTCACTTCTGCAACTCAGGACAATGGCCTTTATGTCTCCCTGTGCCTCTGTAGTGTGGAACCAGGAAGCTGCACAGCCAAGAGGCCAGAGGCAGGGGGGTGGTGGTGCTGGCTGTTGTTACAGGTGCCCACGCGGCCGAGCTGGTGGCTGGTAGGGCTGTGGGGGGTGGGGGTGGGAGGGGTCCTCACGATCTCCTGGATGCAAGTGGGTGGGGCAAGCCAGACAGAGCAGGGCACAGCCACCCGCATCTGACCACAAGGCCAAACTGGTGGCTGGTCCAGTCTGGACTATATAGTGAGTTCAAGGCCAGCCTGAGCTACATAGCGAGACCCTGTCTCAAAAGACCAAAGAAAAAAGAAAAAGAAATGCTTGATGCTTCCAGGAGCCAGTGCAATACAAGGTGCCTAGGTCCATCTAGGGGAGCCCTGGGAGTGGGGAGTCCACCCCTGGAGCTGGCAAAGTCGTTTGCAGCAATGGGGGCTCACTGATCTAGAGCAGTATTTCCCCACCAGGGGTGACATGGCACTGTCTCAACACAACATCCTACAGTGTGGGGACAGCCTCCTGCTATGAAGAATCGATTTATCCCAAATGCCAATACTGCCAAGCATAAGAAACCCTGGTCTCAAGAATATGGACTGTGGGGGCTGGGGTGAGGGGGTCTCAGGTCTTGCTTTGTCCAACCTTTTCCTGGTGCAGAGAAGAAGGCCCAGAGAAGGGCCACAGCCAAAGTCTGCAGGAGTCGGGGCACAGGTACTCCAGGCCACATCCTTGCCTTCCCACCAATGAGCAGGACCAGGGCCAGACACACTGCTGAGCCTCCAAAGACACTGTGGCCACAGCAAAACAGTGGTAGTGGTGGCAGAGCGCTTGCCTCTGTCTAGGGGTGGCCTGGATAGGCCCAGCCTATATCTGAGCCTCAGTTCCCCACCTCCAAGGTGGTGCTTCCTGGAGGACCATAGGAGCTTTCTGGGTGTGGCCCCCACCCCCACTCAGAGTCACCGAGTCAGGCTGTAGTTGGCTCCTCTTTAATCTTAGCCTGGTGGATAAAGATTGGGAAGGTGGGCAGGAAGCCAGGGGAAGGAGCCAGAGCAGGGCCACAAGAGGCTGTGGGGTCAGGGATGAGGCTCAGGCCCTTCCAGTCATAATCCTGTCCCTCTGGACTCGGCTTCCTTCAGTCTCAGCCAAGAGTCCAGATCCTGCCAGAGCAGTTGGTCCCATCATGGAGCTGGGAATCAGGACTTATAGCATGGCTTTATCCTGGATCTGGGCCAAGCTGTTTCCTCAGTAGCCTGCAGCCACCCCATTCTTCCTCAAGTCAGACTCCGCATACACACAGGGCCCCTCCTGGGACACAGCCTGGACCACATTCAGGAAAAATTGCTGCTGGGTTTGTTTCTGGCCACGGTCTTGGAGCCCCTTCTGCACCTCCTGGAGACAGAAGACAAGTTCACAGAAAAGGGCAGGTTGGTTCCCATCCAGAGTGGAGAGGTCTGGACAGGGAATGAGGAAACTGACCAGGAAGGCAGGATGGGGTGAGGGAGGGCCTGGGGACACATGTTGAGGGGAGAATTTCAACAGCCTGGAGAGATCAGAAGGGCTTAGAGGGGCAGTGTGGAAAGTGGGAAGGGGGAGGAGCATCACTTAGAACAAAAGGACCTTGAGATGCAAGTTCACTTTGGTCCTGGATCCAATTCATCAAGACTTCAGAGTACAAATCTAAGGAGCTTTGGGGACCTTCAAAGGAGGACATAAGTTCTAAGGACTTAGACTGAGAGGCCCCCACTTCCGTGTCTCTCAAAAAGCAAGCTTTCTAGAATGCCTTCTAGAAAAGCACTGGAACCCCATACCCTCTATTCATCAAGAACTGCCAACTCAAGCCCCCCCGCCCCGTGCCTTGGGATCTCTGTACCCAGGGACTCCAGAGACATTGAGGAGAACAAAGAGCTGGGTGCCAGGTATCCAGATCCTCTGACTTGAGCACTGTCATACCATATAGGGCCTACGATCTCAACACACAGACGAAAAGTCTGGAGACCTTTGACACTGAGGAACGTGGTCGTCAAACTACCCAGGAGTGATGTCCCGCAAGTTTAGGACCTGTTGTGGTTTGGATGAGAACTGTCCGCCCAAAGGGTCATGTGCTCAGAGGTGGGGCTTCTGGAAGGTGATCAGATCATGAGAGGGTTAACCTCATCAGTGGATTCATTCATTGGTGAATCCATAGCTGAAGGTGCTCTTAAGAGGTGGGGCCCATTTGGAGAAAGGGGGACATGTGCATTTGAAGAGTATATTCTTGTCCTTGTCCCTTCCTTTCTCTGGCTCTTCATTCTGCATTTTTTTTTCCCTCAGTACCGGGGATTGAATTTAGGACCTTGCGCATGTGAGGCAGGCGAGGTGCTACTGAATTAAATCCCCGGCCCTCTCTTCTTTCCTCACTTTGCTTCCTGGATCCCACAAGGAAAGCAGCTTTCCTGTGCCCGGCCCCTCTGTCATGACATTTCTTCCTTGGAGTCAACTGACCATGGACTACACCCCCCTGCAAGCCAAAATAAACCTTTTCTGCTTCAAGCTGTATATGTCAGGCATTTTGCCCCAGCAACAAAAGGCTGACTAATACCGGGCCTGTTGATAGAGGATTTGGCTAGAAGGACCCAAAGCTCCACATCTCAGCCACTCTGAATACCCATGAAGTCAAGGAAATTAGAACCTTAGACTGAAAGCACAAATGGTCTTAGAGTGGGAGATGCTCAGGGAAGGGGCCCTAGTGACTCAGGTCCAAGACAGTGAATCTGTGGACTTCAAAGCTGCTAAAGGATGAGGCAGGCCCTTAACTGAGTGCTGTCTTCTAAGATGCTAAATACCTTGCCTCAGTGTATGATCCTCACATATTTATCAGTCTGTTGAGACAAAGTCCTAGAGTGTGGAGACCTGTGGTGTTTCAGCCACATATTTCCACATTTTGGACTAAAAAGTCAAGACTTTAGCCCACCAGGTCCTCTGATATGAGGACATCAGGTAACACTGCTTGACCTGAGCCACTGGCAGGGCAAGGTCCCTGGTGCCCCAAACTCTTGGTTCTAAGTTGCCCCAAATCCTTAGACTTGAAGGCTGAGGCCCTTACCACTGAAGCCAAAGATGGGCTTTTGGTCCTCAGAGGCTCCATTCCTAGAGTCTGGTGGCCAAAATTCATGACAGCTGAGGATCAGCGACCTTCATTTCCTCAGACCTCAGGCTTTAGCACCAAAGCTCCCTGGTGATTCAAGGTCTCCAACACAGAGTTTAGAATTCTCCCACAGAAAGCCTTGGATCTGCATAACTGATATTCTGACTCTCCAAGGGAGCTGAGGATTTGGGCTTCATGTGTTATTGAATTCCATTAATCCCAGTCCTCATACTGTGATCTCCCAAATTCTCAGAGTTAAAGGTCTTCCAGGTCCCCAATAAGTGATGGTTTCCACCTAAGGGCCTCTAGTAAAGGGTCAAGGAAGAAGGGCATAATAAGGTGCTCTTTGGATTCTGGATCTTCTAGATCCAAATTCCCTGGAACCTGGTGCCCTGAGAGAGCGCTTGAGGTCACTGGGCAGATGCAACATGGGGAAGAGGGCACCTCAAAGTCCGAGGGTTTGAGCCCAACAGGCTGAGGTCCTTACTATCATGATGCAAATGCCAAGGTTATCAGGCAATATAGCTGTTCCTTGACTTACCATGGGCCTCCTTCCAGATAAACCCATTCTTAATTGAAAATACTGTATCATGGCCTGGGCATTTAGCTCAGTGGTGCCACCACCTGCCTTGAAAGCACAAGGTCCCGAGTTCAATCCCCAGGACCAAAGAAAATACTGTATCATGAAGTCAAAAGTATATTTAATGAATCTAATCCACCAGATATCATAGCTTAGCCCAGCCCACCTTGAAAGTACTCAGAACACATGCATTCATCTCCAGCTGGACTACCATCTAACACAAGCTACCTGTTCTCTCATGAAGTGTTGAATATCTCATGAGCTAATTTTCTGAATACTGTATTGAAAGTGAAAAATAGAATGTTTGTATGAGTATTCACCACTAATGTACATTAAAGTACAGTTTATACTGAATGTGTATGGATTTCATACCATTGGAAAGTTGAAAACTCCTTTCTTTAGTCAAACTACTGTGAGTCCCAAACCCTCTGTATACACCCACTTGGCTTCAAGTCCCCCAGTCTGTGGTCCTCAGGATTCCAAGGGCCCTGAAAAGAGGCCTTCAGACCAAGAGGGTCAGCTTTGAGAACCTTGAACCAGCTAGTTGAACTGACCCTGGGCATAAAATCTGAAGCTTCAAAGAGCTGCTAGTGTTTTTTCTTTTTTCTTTCCACAGTGTTGGGGATCGAACTTGGGACCTTGCCAACACTAGGCTCTCCCATGAGCTACATCCCCAGCCCCAGCTGCTAGTCTACTAAATAGATTCTAACCAAGAACATCCACCAGCCCTGAGAAGCTCCAAGGAAGCCGAGGGAGAGGGTATCCAAGAGAATTGAGCCCCTGGACCTGCACCACAGGCTTTGATAGAAGAGCCAGAAAATCTTTAGAAGAACCCCTAATACTGTAACAGAGGCACTCTGAAGACTCCCACAGGAAAAATAACCTCTCTTGCAAAGAAATCCCTAAATATGAGTTGCAAACCACACAAGGAAGTGAATCACCACAAGGGAGAGTCTGAGATGCCACAGCCAGGAAAATTAGCTTCCAAAAGAAAGAGCATAAACAGATCAGGGACCAAGGGGGATGAAGGCCTCAGCCTGGGAGAAGCTTTGGCAATACCTCGCTCTCTGCCATGGAAGCCAACTCCTTGTGGCCCCCAAATGTGAAGTGTTCCTAGCTGAGCCATGCAGTAGCTGAGTTCGTCCCAGGGGCCTCTGAGAAGCATGGATGGGGTGGGAAAGGTGCTCAAATGTGCCCTCACCTGGCTGAAGTTGGCCTCGTATTCCACACTACCCTTGCTGTTGACATGCAGAACAGGGGCCGCAATGGCGGCTGCCAGGTCCAAGCCAAGCCACAGCTTGTTCACGATGGTCTGAAGGAGAGAAAGGATGCAGCGAGGGAGGGGCACCAGCCTTCCCCCACCAACCCTCCCACCCCCACCTCAGGGCCAGTCAGATATCAGGGCTTCCCAGAGTGCAGCTGCTTTAGCCAGAAACCTCCAGACGCACCTGGACCACAGCAGAGATGATGAGCTCCCCACCAGCCCCGCCGATCACCAGCTTTGACCCCCGGGCTTTGTTGACCAAGATGGAAGGTACCATGGATGACGGTGGCCGCTCACCTACAACTGGGGGCCCAACAGGCATCACCCACGCCCTCCAGGAACAACACCCACCCTGTCTTCATTCGCTGCTGAGCAAACAGTGGCTCAGGGAAGGGGGTGACCCACCCAGGGGTCAGCACACAGCTGCCTGCCTTCCCTCTTCTCCCTGGGAGATGCTCATAGAATCTGCCTGGAGGCCTTGCTCTCACCTGGTGGGGGCATGCGGCTGGAGCTTGACCTGCGTCTCCAGCATAAGTCTAGCAGCTCATTGTTGAGGAGAATGCCTGTTCGAGGTGAGTACACCATTGCTCCAAAGCTGCAGATGGGAGAGACGGGAACCTAAGCTTGGGCTCCCATCAGCATGGAACATCAACTTCTCAGGAACCTGTCATGGCTGCCCACCAGGGTGCTGGAGCCCAGAGGCCTGAAACGTCCCCTTGTGCTCCCATCAAGGCATTCTTCTGAGTAAGGCCTATCCCAGACAGGACCTGGCTGAGGGGGGACCCCAGGAACATCCTTCTCAGAGAGAGATGTGCCAGGTGCAATTGTCCAGGTGTATTGATAGATAGGAGGAAGGGAAGTGCAAAAGGTGCTGCCTCCATGGGAGCCCAGGGGGAGGCAGGCAGCATAGACCAAGCTGGGGGTGGAGAGGGTTCAGGTCCAGGAGCAAGGGGGAAGGCCTGCCCCTGGCCCCACGCACGGTGTGTTGATGGTGCTGGTGGCAGCCACAGCACTGCCGTCTTCTCCCAGCACAGACACGTGAGAAGTACCCATCCTGTGGCCCCAGGCCCCGGCCAGGTTGTAGTGGCTGTGCTGGTGTTCACCGTGGTCATCGATCTGCTGGCGGATGTGCTGGGCCAGAGCTTCCCCCAGCAGTTCCTGGGAGGCGTTCTGGGGTGAGCGGGTAAGTGCAGGGTCAGTGAGGGGGTCAGGTGGAGTCCACAGAGCAGAGGGGAGCTGAGTTAAGTTCCCTTGGAGGACCCTCTCAAGTCTCTCCTGTACAGGGAGTCAGAGGGACCTCCCTGAGCCCAGGCTATGCCCAGATCCTGCCTCCCATAACTGCCATTCCAGGGGCTCTTCTTGTCCCCAGGGGCACTGAACCATTCCTGCCCTGGTCCACTGCTCCTCTCCCTCCTATATCGCCGCCCCCCCCCACCTGACCCTCCCTTCATGCCAACTCCTGAGGCAAGAAAGAGGAATCCCACCAGCCCTGGGCAACTTCACCTGGACCTCTGGGTGGCTTCGAGGGTCCCACAGCCGCCACCTCTGTCCCCCAGCAAACTTGAGTGTCTCCACAAGGTGATGGTACATGCTCGTTCTCCCTTCAGGCTGGGCCACTGACTCTGCTGAGAAGTTGAACCCTGGGGAGAGGGTGGGACACAGGTGGGGGTCACTCTGTACAGTGGATTGAATGTTGGTCCCCCAAATATTCATGTTCTAATCCCCAGACTCTGTGAGCCTATGTGTTCTTACGTAGGACTAGAGGGAATATTATCCTATATGTTAAAATATGCTAAGTAAAGGACTTTTTTAAATAAAAGATTTTGAGAGGAGATTACCCTGGATTATGCAGTAAGCTCTACATGTGATCACATGTATCCATACAAGACGGACATAGAAAGGAGAGGAGAAGCCAATACAGTAGTACCTTCTTATCAATAGTTTTGTTTTCCACAGTTTCAGTTACCTGAGGTCACCATGGTCTGAAAATATTAAGTAGAAAATTACAGAAATAAACAATTCATAAGTTTCACATGTAATTCTGAGTAGCATGATGGAATCTCATGCCATTCTGCTGTACCTCCCAGGGATGTGAAGCATCCCTTTATTCAATGTATCCATGCTGTATACATTACCCACCCATGAGTCACTGATTAGCCATCTTCATTATTGGATCAACTGTTAGCAACAGGGTACTTGTGTTGGAGTAATACCTATTTTATTTAAGAATGGCTGCCAAAGTGCAAGAGCAGTGCTATAGTTGGATCTGAAATTGCCCCCAGGGGTCCATATGTTAATAACTTGGTCCTCAGCTTGGTGCTATACAAAGGTTGTATAACCTTTAAGAGGTGGACCTTGAGGGAGGTTTTAGGTCACTGAGGTGTGCTATTGAAAGGTACTGGGATGCTTCTCTCTTCTTCTCTGTCTCTCTTAGGAGAGGTTTAATTTGGCTCACATCTCTTTCTTTCTCTTCTGCTTCCCAGCCACTTTGAGGTGAGCAGTTTGGTCCACCACATGGTCCTACCATGATGTGCTGCCTTGCCACAGGCCAAAAAGCAATGAGCCAACTAATCCTGGACTAACATCTTCAAAACTAAGCCAAAATAAACCTTTTCTGTTTATATGCTTATTCATCTGAGGCATTTGTTATAATAATGGAAAGCTGACTAACACAAGTAGTGATGCTGGCAATTTGGATGTCAAACAGAAGCCACGAAGTACCTCTTTTAGGTGAAAAAGTACTTAGTTATTGTTGTTAGTGTCTTACTATACCTAATTTACAAATTCAATTTTATCATAGGCAAGTATATATAGAAAAGAATGTGGTATACATAAGATTCAGGACTGTCTGCAATTTTAAGCATCCTCTGGAGACCCTGGGACATGTCCCCTGTGGCCAAAGGTAGAGATTGGGGTGATACAGACAAGGCCAGGGAATACCTGCAGCCACCAGAATCAGGAAAAGGAAAGGAACAGAATCTCCTCTAGAGTCCCCAGAGGGAATGTGACCCTGTGGACAACTTCATATGAGATTTCCAGCCTCCAGAATGAGGGGATAAACTGTTGTTTTAAGGCACCCATTTGTTACACCAGCCACAGGACACTGACAAAGCTGGGCACAGGCATCCTCGGACCCAGACACCCCAGGCGTGAGGACCCTACAGGCTGTGACATGGAGTTGTGTTTCAGGCCTGAATGTGGGCCTCTGAAGGGCAGCTCACTGCCTGCAGAGCCTACCTGCTCCTGTGCCCTGCAACTGGCTCACCTATAGGGAGAAGGCTGTCAGTCTCTTCTGCAAAACCTCAAGTAGAGGCCAATCTAAAGCACTGGCTCTAAAGGCCATCATCCTGGCCACTGTCCACAGGCCTGTCTTGGGTGTCATGCACCTGTTCATCCAGTTTATGGATCAGGAGGCTGGACAGGAAAAGTCAGTGGCTGTCTGCCATAGTTAGAATATGGTTTGGTTGTGCCCCAAGGTTCCATTGCAACTGGAGGCTCAGACCCAGGGTGGTAGAAAGAGGAGGTTTTATTTTATAGCAAAATATGTATTGGTACATTTTAGGCATACCTAATGATAGCACTCATTGTAGGGGATTTGCACCTATAAAATAGGAGGTTTTAGAGCCTTTAAGAGGTGGAGCCCAATGTGAGGTCATGGGGTCACTAGGGCCGTACTCTGGGAAGGTGCTTTGCATGCCGCCTCTTGGTAGCTCTCACAGAAGAGTTATGAGAGGAGCAGGCCTAGCCTCACCCAGATCTTTTTGCTTCCTGGCTTGAGATAGAACTGTTCGCCCCAAATACATTCCCACGCCACCCACATTGGGGCCCTCATCAGAGCTGAGCCAGTGTGGGTGCCCTGTTTTTTTCTTTTTTTGAGACAGGGTCTCACTGTGTAGTTCAGACTGGCTTTAAATTCACTGTGTAGCCCCACCTGGCCTTGAACTTGTAGCGATCCCCTTGCCTCAGCTGCCAAGTGCTGGGATCACAGGTGTGTACCACTACTCCCGGCTAGGTGCCCTGCTCTTAGACCTCCAGCACTGAATTAAATAAACTTCTCCTTTTCTTACTTTCTCTTTCTTTCCTTCTTTCTTTCTTTCTTTTTTTTTTTTTGGTGCCAGTGATCCAACTCGGGACCTTGTGCTTGCAAGGCAGGAGGCGGAACCACCTTCCTTCCTTCCTTCCTTCCTTCCTTCTTCCTTCCTTCCTTCCTTCTCTCTTTCTCTTTCCTCTTTCTTTCCTTACTCTTTGCCTCTCTCTCTTTCTCTCTTTTTTCTTCTTCCTCTTTATCTATTTATTTATTTAGCAATGCTGAGGATCAAACCCAAGGCATCGTGTGTGCTAGGGAAAAGCTCTATCACTAGCCTACACCCCCAGTCACCTTTTTTTTTAAGAAGTAGCTTGTGTCAGGTATTTCATTCTAATGATGAAAAGTTGACTTATACACTGCCCAAAGCCATGGCTGGGCTGAGAGCTCAGGTTCCTAGCAGAGCAGAGCTCTGAGCAGGGGACCTGGGAAGGTTTTACCTCTCAGTACATTAAGGATGAAGCTGAGAATGGCGCCCCCTGCAGGTGGTGGTGGTGAGTACAGAGTGTAGTTTCCTAGGGGCATTTCCAGGGCATCCACCACCTCCGGCTGGAAGGTAGCCAGGTCCTGCAGGGTCAGCTGGCTCCCTGGGGTGAGACAGGGAGGGCCTCATGTATATATACAAAAACTGAGGTGAAAAACATTTGCCACAGTGGGAATCTGCCTTGTCCCCTATCCGTGCAGACCTGGCAGGGTGATGGTGTGCGTGTGCAGTGGCATGGGGTAGATGGACAGAGGAAAGTGGGATAGAGCACTGCGAGGGTGGTCAGCTCCGCTGTCCAGGTCTGCTGTGACAGGCTACAACCCCTTCCCACAGACACCCCTGTGGCTGGCAGTGGGAGCCCTGGGAATGGAGCCTGGTGGAAGGCCCACTTCCAACCCACCACCCACAACTTCCAGGCCCTCCCAGGGCTTGCCCCTTCTCTGGTCAGGACCAGGCATGGAAATGGAAATGCCGGTGTGGCTGACCTTCTTTGGCAATGTCATCCACCAGCATCTGGCCCAGCCTCCCAGTGTAGAAGGTCTTCGCGCCCTCTGTGGCCACAGCCTCCAGGGTGGTGGCCAGCACAGGCCATGGGAATGGGTCCTGAGGTCTTAGAGGTTCAGTCCCATTGAAGAAAAGCTCCCTGGAGGGTGGAGAGGGTCAACTCAGGGTAGGGCCAGGAACCAGAGGGCAGCCACACTCCTGCTGGGGGCTCAAGTGAGACCCTCAGGATCCTATGGGGGAGAGTCGTGGCCTGGGGTCCTGAGATACTGGGTGAGTAACAAGGGGGCCGATTCTCTAGAAGCAGTGGGGCTGATCCCACCCACCTCATTCATGGCCCCAACCCAGAGAAAACACCTTTCCCTGTGGATCCATGTTTACCCAGGGACTGTTTTCCCCACACCCATGGGAGCCCCTGTAGGGCTAGTAGGGAAGGCAAGGTTGCCACCAAAGCCCTCCTATCACCCTAAAGAGAGTGAGAAAGAAGCCAGGGCTGAGGGAAGTGGCAGAGCCCAAATCTGCTCCCTTACATCCCCATCACTTGGGCCTAAGCTTCTCCGAGCCAGGTTCTAACCTGAGATAGAAAGTACTGGCTATTCTGGCCTTAAGGCCCCTGGGGTCCCCTTAGGGTCAACCCCCTCCAATGCAAGAGGGACTGAGTCAGAGTGGGGATGTGGCTGGGCTCAGGTGGGATGTGACCTTGAGCCCGAGGCCACCTTGTGATCTCACCTCAGAGTTGAGTTGTGTAAGAAAGGCCGCAGGAACCCGCTGTTGAGGAACTGGCTGAGGATGGAGGGCATGCGGAAGTCCCCTCGGAGCAGTGTGATGGTGGGCTGGAACAGCTGCGCCCAGGGCAGGCGGCCATGGCGGCGGTGGGCCTCAGCATAGCCACTGAGCTCCCCGGGCACTCCAATCCACTGGGCCCCTGCATGGCATGCCCCTGTCCTCAGCCCTGAGGCTTCCAGGCCTGCCCAGGGCTCTCCTCTTCTCTTACAGTTGGTGCCCCCAGCCATGGCAGCCAGAGCGAGCCTTTGGAACCCACTCCTGACCACGCCACTCTCCACAAAGACCTCTGTAGTGCCCCACTGCCTTCTGTACCGAGTCCGAGCCTGGGCCCCTAGGCCTGCACAGACTGGCCCCAGCGGCCTTTTCCTACCAGCCCATCTTCATCAAACCCCTCAGGACTTTGGCCAGCCTGGCCTTCTCCTGGGGTCACCCCTTCCTACTCAGAGAGCCCTGCCCCCAGGAAGACACCCCCCCCACCCCAGAAGATCACAGGCTCCACATAAGCTCCCCATACCCTAGCTGCTGTCCCCCTGTGCCGAGGTGTCACAGCTTGTCTGTGAGGCATACTGTCCTTTCTAGAGGTGTTTTGGTCAGCCCCAGGGGCCCAGCAGGATGGAAGTGGGCACCCCTGCTAAGGCCTCACCTGTGCCCAGGGGTAGGGCACGTTCACACTGGTCCAGGAGGCCCTGGGCATAGCTGGCAGGCACAGTCTCCCGGGCATTGATGATCTCCACCTTCCCTAGAGTTGGGGTACGGTGAGTGAGTAGTCATGGCACCTTCAGATAGCCCCAGCCTGTTCTCAGCCTGTTTCCCTCTCTAAGCTTACGAGGCAGGTGCCAGAACCACTGAGCTAAATCCCTGGCCCTTCCCTCTCTAAGCTAACACTTGGGTCATGATGCACCACTAGAGTTTGGTATAGCAGAAGTGAGGGGGCAAAGCAGGGAGGCCTGAGAGCCCAGGGAGGGGGGTGGGAAGGGACTCAGGAAGGGGTTACCAGTGGTTGTGGACAAATCTATCTCCCATGGTGGGGACCAAGGGTGTCAACATGGAAGCCCACCTGTTGTAGCATTGTAGATGGTGAAGATGACACCTCCTCCCAGGCCCATGCTCTGAGGGTTGATAACACCAGTGCAGACCAGGGCTGCAATGGTGGCATCCACAGGTGAGCCCTGCTGCTGGAGGATGGCTCTAGAAGACATGGCAGAGTTAGTGGCCTGGCTCTCCTCCCCCATCCTCCTCAGCTGGGCTTGCTCAGCTGGCATTCACTCAGAAACAGATTGGTGGCCCTTCTGCTGCCACAGAACCCGAGGTTAGGTTAGAAAACACACTGGGCTACCCCCTCAAATCAAGCTGCTCCCTGGTCCATTACTTTCCAGAAGACTGCCACTTACACTGCCCTTTACCATTCACCAGGCACCTCTCAGTTTGCAAAGAACTTCTCCTATCCTGATTCCCGCAGGGCTCCTAGTAGCATCAGCTTATTTGCAGGCAAACCTGGCTTGGGCCACCCCTTGCAGCCTCAGGAACTCTGCCCCCCAGGGGCCTTAAGACCATGATGACCAGTACTTGTCTGTCTCGGGTCAGGGACTCCATTCAACCCTTGTTAACAGTGAGGAAATCAAAATCCAGAGGCAACAGACCTGGATTTCCTGCCCCATCCCGTGGAAATTCCGACCCCATATCTTCCCTCTGCTCCGTTCCCCGTGGCCTCCCGAGTCCATCCTGGACTCCAGCCTCCCCCATGGGCCATGGGGCTCCCGCTCCAGGTCAAAATGTGGCTACACGGGACTGCCACACGGAATACATAATCTTAGGGTGGGAAAAGGGCAGGAAGCCAGAAGCATAAAAGAAACAATATTGCTACATTCTGGCATCATTACATATTTTTAAGAAGAATAAAACATCATCAGTAAAGTCAAACTGGGGCAGGGAGGGAAGGACAAATTCCCTTGAGAGACAAAGGCTTCATTTCGTTACTAAATGTAGTCAGCTGACGTGCTTCTTGCCTGCTAACTCAGCAGCACCCCACTCTCTCAAATGCCCCCTCCACTTGGAACCTTCTTTGGCTCTTACCCCCTCTCAGGTTTTTCCTCCCATCTCCCTCACCCCCTGGTGTTGGGGGCCCTGGGCTCAGTCCCTCTTCATCTGTGGATGAGCTCATCCAGGCTCATGGCATAAAATGCAAACTCTGAACAAGACATGCTGGCACACTCGTGATCCCAAGACTCTGGAAGCCTGAAGCAGGAGGTTCATAGATTCAAACCCAGCCTGAGCAGCTTAGTGATTTACTGAGACCCTGTCTCAAAATAAAAAATAAAGGCTTGGTGGTACACACCTGTAATCCCAGCACTCTGGAGGCTGAGGCAGGAGAATTGCCTCAAATTTGAGGCCAGCTTGGGCTACATAGTGAGTTCAAGGCCAGCCTGAGCTATATAGCAAGACCCTGTCTCAAAAAACCAAAAAATAAAAATGAAAGGGCCAAGGATTTAGCTCAGTGGTTCCACCACCTGCCTCACAAGTGCAAGGTTCCAAGTTCAATCCCCAGTACCAAAAAAAAAAAAGAAAAGAAAAGAAAGAAAGAAAGAAAATGATTGCTAGTCCTGGAGAGATGGCTAATCGGCAGGCAGGAGTGGCAGGGAGGAGCTGGCACAGCTCGGGAAGGGATATTGTGAATTCCTTGCGCTTGGGGATGGGTCCTTACTACACGCATAATCGTCAGCCAGAATTAGGCCCAGCTTCAAATTTTCTCATTTACTGGGACCAAATGTACACTGATCGATGGAGACCTCCATGTTTTCTGGGGCCCTGGGTGTGGGGTTCCACTTCTGATCAGACTCAAAACCTGGGAAACATAAGTGCCCCTGAGAACACTTAAGGTCACAACTCCACCATCGGGGGCATGCACATAACAGGCCAAAGTTATATAAGTGATTTAATCTGCTTGACCATGCATGTGTGGCGTGGTCGAGGTCACACAGCTGATGTTTTGTCTCATCATGTCCCAGTAAGCTGATAATAACTACTATGACCACTGTGAACAAAAGAGCACTGTAGCTGTTTTTGCTGAAGGAATAAAGACAAGCAGCTCTTGGGCTGTGGAACCCTGGCTCCAGCTCTCCTGCTCTGATGCTGATGATTGGCTCCAAGTCCTATTCTTTCTTGGGGAATTAATTCACTCGCAATAGACTAATGTGCAAACCCCTCTCTGGGTGCCCCTGGGGAGGCTTGGCCTTGACACTGGGCAGTTATTGAAAAACAAAGGGGTGAGAACATCGGTACAACAGGTACGGTTATATCTAGGAATTGGGAGAGTGCCCCCTGGTCTATATTTGCTGCTAGTCTCTCTGGTCCCTGAGAACATTCCAAGGAAGGATATTTGTTATGGTTTATATGCAGATGTTCCCTGCGCCCAAGCCTCATGTGCTCATAGGTGGGGCTTTGGGGAAGTGATTGGATTATGGGTGTGAGATAGTCATCAGTGGGTTGGTCCTTCCCATCCTAGCAGATAGTAGACACCAGTTGTACCAGCTGCTGGATGTACGTGCTGAGTTTGGAAAGACCATGAAAGAATGAGAGCAGATTGGGATTTTACAACCTGCTCAAGGCATCTTTGGCATGGCTGGTAAAAGAGCCAGACAGACTTGCAAAATGACTGTTGACTACAGGGAGTTAGATGGGATACTTATCTATGGTACCAGAAAAAGGCACACATCTCCCTTAGCTCTGGGCACACTGTGCTGGTCTTAGCTAATAGCTTTTTCAGTATTGCTTTGAAACTTGATTTGCCTTGACTTGGGAGGGAGGGCAGTGGAGATTCTGCCTCCATGGTATGGATGGTGTGCTGACTGGTGAAGGCTATACCTTGCTGCAGGATGCAGCAGACTGACTCCTCCCATCCACATACCAGGGGAGGGGCTGCCAATCCCAACTAGCGATATTGCTGTTGAAGCAATTTCAAAAGTATTTTGTATTTTGGGACAAAGAAAGAAAGTAAATATATTGACATCGTTGGAAACTTCTGTTACCATGGGAGAAAAAACATATGAGACGAGAAAGATGGGGAAGGAGCCTGTCATGGTAGGTTTCAACTGGAGCTATCGGGATGGAGTCTGGGTCTTTTTTGATGTTTTTTCTGGCTCTGCATAGAAGCAAACTGGAAGTCATGATATCCCAGTGGTCACGAGGACTCCTAGCTTCCAGATCTTAGTTTCTAAAATACTTTTCCCAGCTGGGCATGGTGGTGCACACCTGTAATCCCAGCACTTGGGAGACTGAGGCAGGAAGATCACTTTGAGTTTGAGGCCACCCTGGACTACATAATGAGTTCATGGCCAGACTGAACTACATAGCAAGACCCTGTCTCTAAAAACAAAGCAAAAAATTACAGTGACATAGAAAATGATAATATCTTGTGAGATTTAAAATAAAACATCCTAGCTGGGTGTTTATTTTAGGCTGGTCTTGAACTCCTATCCTGCCTCATCCTCCTGAGTGCTGGAATTATAGGCTTGAGGCACCATGCCTGGCAGATGGTGACTATAAACCTGAATGAATCACTAATGACATTATACAGAAGATGATAATGAATGAAAATGTAAATAATAGATTAAAACTAATGCCTTTTATATAAGTGGTACAGAAAGGTGGAAAGTACAATGATGGAAAATACATCATGCAAATGCTGACCATGAAAGCTGTACGTTAATATTAATTTCAGGGCTGTGGGTGTAGCTCTGTGATACAGGGCTTTCCTAGTATATACCAGATACAAGACCCTGGGTTCAATCTCAGCATTGCAAAATAATAATGATGATATTATTAATTTCAAATGATACAAACTTTAGGAAGTAAAGTAATATAGAGCTAAGGAAAGGCACCATGCAGGAGCAAGAAGAGGTTTTGGTATTACTCACAGGAGGAAACAGAGTCAGTAAGAATTCTATAGACCAAACCAATAGGACATGTGCAGACAGATGAGAAGTTCGTCTTAAGAAGTTGACTTGCGCACTACGAGGCCTGGCAAGTTTGAAATCTGCAGGGAACAGCTGCAGTTCCTCCAGTCATTCAAGAGTGGGTGTTGCAGTCTTGAGTTCAAAATCTCAAGAGGGCAGGCTAGAACTCAGGCAGAACTTCCTGTAACATTATTTTTATTATTATTTGCAGCATCAGAGATTAAACCTAAGGCAGTGCACTTATTCGAAAACAGCTCTACCGCTGAGCTACCTTCCTAGTCTTTTTAACTTTTTAATTATTTTTTCTTTATTTTGAGGCAGGTTCTTGCTAAATTGCTCCACCTGGCCTCAAACTGGGATTACAGGTGTGCATCACCTTGCCTGGCCACATATTTTATATTTCTATGGCTAGCAGCTCCTGGGCTACAGTGATCCTCCTGCCTCAGCCTCCGAAGTCATTGGCACTATAAGCACATGCTACCACGTCCAGCTCAGGCAGTATTTCTGTATTACAGTCTTGAGGCAGAATTATTTCTTCCCTGAAATCTCAGGTTTTGATCTTAAGACCCCCAACTGATGTATGAGACCCACATACATTGTGGAAGTTTGTCTGATCTATTAGAAATCAATGGTTTGTAATGTTAAGCACATCCACAAAACACTCTCACCGCAGCGTCTAGACTAGTAGGGACAGTCCCCAACTCACAATGGCTCAACTTACTTTTTTGGGGGGGGGGGTTTGAGACAGGGTCTCACTATGTAGCCTAGGCTGGCCTCAAACATTCAGTGCTCCTCCAGCCTCAGCCTCCCGAGGGCTGGGATTACAGGTGTGCATCACACCCAGCTCAATTTACAATTTTTGACATTGATGATAGTGTGAGAGTGATAATGTGTTCAGTAGAAACCATATTTCTCATGTTGACTTTTCCAAGGCTGGTGATACGCAGTTGATCCTCTCTCATGTTGCTGAACAGCCCCCGAATCCAGGATCGGGAATCCATCCATACTCCACAGTGCCCTGTGCTGCTCAGCCAGGGTGTTTGGTAAATGCATTGTTGAAATCTATTTTCAACTAATGATGGGTTTATTGGGATGTAACCCCATCATAAGTTGAAGAGGATTCTTTTTTTTCCCCCTGCAATAGTGGGAATTGAACCCAAGTCTTTTGCATTGAGCTGTATCTCCAACACTTTAAAAATTTTTATTTTGAGACAGGCTCTTACTAAATCACTAAGTTGCCCAAGCTGATTTGAACTTGTGATCCTCCTGCCTCAGCCTCCCAACGTGCTGGGTTATGGGTGTGTGTCACATGTATGATGAGAGTCTGTACTTGACCAAACCATTAGGCACCACAACCCAACCAAATTGACACTTTAACCATAAGAGGAGCCAACAGAGAATATCCATAAAAGAAAGAACTAGGGTGCTCTGTCTTATATAGCTAATATTATAATTATATATGATATATAATGTACCCTTTGGGATAAGAATATAAACCTTTCTAGATAGCCAAAACTATACCAACAGCCAAACTTGGGCTGAGGATGTAGCTCAGTGGTAGAGTGCTTGCCTAGCTTGTGTGAGGCCCTGCATCCAATGACTAGTCACCCCCCACACACACACACCAGAAAAAAGAAATTTTAAAATATTTTTTGTTTTGGTTTTTTGAGTCAAGTCTCGCTATGTAGTTCAGGCTGGTCCTGAACTTGGCAGCAATCCTCCTACTTCAGCCTCCCGAGTGCTGCGATTTACCATACCTGGCAAGAAATAAAATAAAATTAAAACAAAAAGGATGGAAAAACCCTCAAACTGAATGCACACTGACCAATGATCCCATCCAACCCCAACGTCAGTCATGGATCTACTGTTGTCTCCCCTACCATGAAGGCAGGGGCTTTGCCATCTTGGTGCCCAGTGTATTTGTGGGCCAAGACTGGCAGATACAGGTGTACCTCACATCCTGGATACAGGACACTGCAGTTGGAGAAAGACACACACACCTCATGCATTCACAACCTCACAAACACACTCTTGGGCTCACAGCCCGGGGCTGGCGTTCCTGCAGGACCCTGGGCAGGTAACTCAGTAACCTGAACCTGGGTTCCCCAGCTATGAAATGTGGGCAGTTCCAGCCAGCAGGAGAACTGCATGTTTCTATCGCCAAGGAGCAGGAGGCTGTTGCCTCCATCCACACTGCCACACGTCCAGCCAGACAGGCATATCACACACACCCATTCATACACACGTGCAGAATCCTTGGGCAGGCATGGTGGCCCATTTCCTCCTGAGCCCCAGGAGGGAGGAAAGGCGGTAATTGCCTGGTGAGCCTGCCCAGAGTACAGAGAGCCACAAGGGTCATAGGCCCACGCTGGAGCTGGAGGGGAGGAAACAGTAGATCAAAGGCCATGGTCCTGGAGGGAGAGGTCATACCCTAAGCCCCCTCAGGTCAACCTGATCCAGCCAAGCCACCATAAATGTCATTAGGCAGAGCAGTGGCCCTGTGGGGAGCCCCTCCAGTGGGTGGGGTGAGCTCCACACCTTATCACCTGTGTGCTCACTGCCACCCCACGCGGGAGTTACCAACATGAGCCCACTTTATAGATGAGGACCCTGAGGATCATGAGCTACGGCAGCTTGTCCAGGGTCCCCGCTTTCCTCTGCACCAAGGGTACAGACCAGACACCTGCTGGGTATGGAGCAGCTGACAAAACCCAGCCCTTAGCTGGGTGTGGTAGTGCATCCTTGTAGTTCCAGCACTTGGGAGGCTGAGGCAGAAGGATCATTGAGTTTGAGGCCAGCCTGGGCTACACAGCGAGTTCAGGGTCATCTTAGAATGTCTCAAAAACCAACCAAGAAATGAACAAAAATCTACCCCTTGGGGCCTAACAACTCCATACCACAGCCTGGCGCCCGCCCAGACTTCAATTCCCCAGAAGTTTGCTCATCAGAGCCCCAGCTCTGCGCGCCCGGCCAGTGTTCTCTGTAACTGGTCACTTGACTGTGGTGAAGCTCTGGTCTTATGGGCCAGCCCGGTAGGCTAGGCTGGGATTGGGGTTCAAGAGGAGGAATGGGGAACTCCAGGAAAACCCCAGCCCTCCCACAGCCCTGGAGAGTTTCCACCCCTGCAGGAGTGGCAGCAGTAGGACAAAGAATGCCAGTCCCAGCCTGTCCCCTGAGCCACTGGGCAGGTTGCTTTTCCTGGGCAGGCCTAGTTTCCTCCTAAGTCAAATGGAAAAGCAAGTCCTCCCCCTGAGGACCCAGTTAGGAGGGCAGGTCTATCTGTCTTTCTTTCTTTCTTTCACCCCCTTTTTTTCAGGGTTGGGGATTAAACCCATGGCCTTCACACTGAGCAAGATCCCCAGCCCTTTTTTATTTTGAGGCAGGGTCTCACTAAGTCACTAAGTTGCTCAGGCTGGGTTCTAACACATGATCCTCTTGCCTCAGCCACTCCAAGTTCTGGGATCATAAACTTGTGCCACCACACCCAACTGAGGGCAGGAATTTCTGAGAAGCCACAGCAAATAGAAGGCACTAAACCTAAAAGATGTCTATAACCGTCAAGTTTAGAAAGTTTTCTTAGAAGACAAATGCCTGCCCAGAGCCTCAGGGCACGAAGTTTGCACACAAGTCTAACACATGAGGACATTGTGCTGGGAGTTGACAGACCTGAGGGGAAGGGATCTCACGGTCAGCATGCTCCTGGCTCCTCACAGAAAGCCTCACCCAGGGGCTCAGAGCAAATGCAGTAGGAGAGAAGGGGACAGGAAAGAGGGAGGAATACGGGCTGGGGTTGTCCGCCGACAGACCCTGCAGCTATGCGGCCAGGGCCCCTGCAGGAAAAGATCTTGGCTAGGTCGACCCTGGGATGGGACAAGGTGCCCTCCCTGCGGGGGTCACCAACCCCTGCTCCATTCCATAGGAGCAGCTGGAGCAACATCCAGCCTCCCTCCCACTCCTGGCTTCTTAGAACAAGAACAGGAAGCAGAGAGTTTTTGACAAAACACAGCGGGAGAACCACATCTGCCCCTTTCAAGAAAGGCAAGCTGGAGAGTTTGGATAGAGAGAGAGCAGGCTCAGAGCAGAGACCCCCGGACAGAGCCCGCAGAGACATGGCAGGCCCAGGCCTGCGCAGAGACGGTGGTAGCAGCCTTCCACTCCTGGGAGCTGCGTGGCCACATGGTCATCTCTGGGGCTTGTGGTTCTCCGGCATTTGCATCTTGGCAACTTTGGGGTTAAGTGCGCACTACATTGGGGGTGGCAGAGAGTGCACTCGCTCACATCCCTTGGGAGCACCCTGGGGGGACAAAGCAACTGCCTGCTAACTTGTCCCTGAGCTGCCACCCTGAAAGTAGACATAAGGAGGACACAGCAAGCCTGAGGAGAGCCCAGAGGACCTGGTCAGGAGGGAGTAGGGGCTGGGACAAGCAACTGGAGCAGGGAAGGATGGGCAGATGGATGGATGGATGAGGGAGGGAGGAATGAGTGAAAAGGTGGATGAATGAATGAACAGAAGAAAGCATGCCGGGTAGAAAGGGACAGGATCTGCCAAGCATGGTGGTGCACACCTGTAATTCCAGCATTTAAGAGGCTGAGGCAGGAGGATTGCCATGAGTTCCTGGCCAACCCAGACTATATAGTGAGTTCAGGGCCAGCCTGGACAACATCGTGAAATCCTGTCTCAAAAAACAAAAAAAGAGGGCCAGGGGTTTAGCTCAGTGGCACTGCGCCTGCCTCACAAGTGTAAGGTCCTGAGTTCAATCCCCGGTACCAACCCCCGCCCCCCCAAAAACACAAAAAGGGAAAGGGGCAGGATCCTACTCTTCGCAGACAAGACCTGGGCCAGGACCCAGCCACACTCCTGCTTTGGATCAAGACAGAATCCCATTTTACAAGGCCCTTTGGATCCTCACAATGGCCTGTGAGGAAGATCCGGGAAGCAGACTGGCTTGGCGGGAAGGGGATGCTTGTTCAGGCTAGGGGGCCCATTAGGAGGCAGGGGGCCAGCACGGGCTTCCTGCCATGTCCCTCCCTGGTGGTGGCGTGGCCGGGCAGCAGAGACTTCCCTTGGGCTGGGTTTCCTGGAAAAAGGTTGGGAAAGGCCAGCCATGGCCCCTCTCCATCACCCCTCATCTCAGCCTGCCAAACGTCAGTCACTCCACCCACCCAGACCTGGCCCTGACATGGGGAATGTGGCACTGGCTGGGCGGGGGGTTCCTAGGTCTGAGAGTTGGCGATGTAGCCCAGGCCCAAGGGGAAACTGGACAGCATCAGGTGCACCTGGCAGGCCAGTACCCAGAGAAGCCCATGCCCTGGGGAAAGCCTCCACCCTTGGAGACCTATCCTGTGGCCTTGGGTTAATGCCTGCCACTGGGATCAGGATGGGCCAGACCAGGGACCAGGCAGCAGGGGCCTTTTAGGGTGTCCATGTCTGATCTATGTTGTGCAGATGGACCTCCTGAGCCCCGGAGCCAGGAACACTACCTCTGCCAACACTGCCAGGCCCCTGTGGGTTCCTGCCACCTATTCTGTGCAAAGGTACTGAGGCTGCCTCCTTGCACCCAGGCTTGGGTGGTGGTAGAGCCCCAACCCCATGGCTCCTACCCCATGAGCCAGCACGCACATACACATGGCTCCTCCACAGCCTCACCTCCAGTCCAAACTCTCCAGGAGGGGCCAGCTACCACCCACCTTCCACCCACCTCTTTCCCACCTCCCACCCACTTACCGTCCAATGTCTGAGCAGACCTTGGAGTCGGCAGCTACACCAGCATGGGCAAAGGCTTGGGGACTGCAGGGGGTATGGTGGCGAGAGAGGACCACGGCCAGCACAGTGACCGCCAGCGCTAGCCCCAGCCCCAGCAGGACCAGGCTGACTGTGGACCTGTTGCCCCCAGCCATGGCTCAGTGGCCCAGGAGGAGGACGGAGCTGGGTGTGCAGACAGGCCAGTAGACAGATAGAGGGACAGATGGACAGGCAGATGGATGGACAGGAAGATGTGCAGAAGGACTCATAGATGATTGGACAAACAGAAAAACTGGTGGGGCCAGGGACAGACAAATGGATTGACATTCAGGTCAGCCGGGGATTTAGCTCAGTGGTGCCAATGCTTGCCGTGCAAGCACAAGGACCCAAGTTTGATCCCTGGTACCAAAAAAACAAAACAAAACAAAAACAAACAAAAGACATTCAGGTCAGACAGCTGGACAAACAGGATGGTCAGACAGATATTTGGACAGAGATGGGCTAACAGATAGGTGGAAAGATGGGTTTAAAGATGAACAGCGAGCAGCCAACCAGACAGATGGGGTTATGGATGGATGAACAAGACAGCAGCGGCAGGGCCACTGCCCTCCTCCAGCGCTCACCACAGAGGCAGATGTAGCCACACGCCTGAACTTCCAGTTTCAGCCCCTGTGCTTGGCCCTGGCGGAAGGCCAGGCATTTAGGGGGGAAGTTTTTCCTTGCAGAGACAGCTGCTGGAGTTAACTCACTGCCAGTTGGTCCCACGGCCACTCCTGCCAACCCAACTGTACCCAGGGTCACCTCATTCCAGTAATGCTTGAGGATTCAGTGCCTTCGGGGCCGGGCTCCCAGGAGACCCTGTGCCATTTCCCAGTTCCCAGATCGCAGGGAAGGCAGAGCTGGGGCAGTCCAGCTCCAGCCTGGAGAAGCTCAGAGGCCAGGCCCCTAGCAGGGCGGAGCTCCACCCCCAACCTTGCCCTCTCTGCTCTGCCCGTCCAAGAGGCACAGAAAGGGACTGAAGAGACAGAGGGGCCTAAGGCACGTCACTCAGGACCTCTTAACCAAAGCCTGGCCCAGGAGCCGCAGTGCCACCCAAATAAGGCAGGGATTCAGACTGGATGCAGTGGCACCCATTCCACTGGGCCACTCATCCCTGGGACCTGCTGACCTGAAAATGTAGCCTTGGGGCTCTGGGGAGTGAGGCCACTCTGCCTGGGTCCTGTGCAGACACAATCTCCTCCCCTGGTGTCATTGGCTTGGGTCCTCCCCAGGCCTTAGGGTGTCTAACTGGCAGGCAGCAGGGGAAGTGAGGACCCACTGAGGCGCTCCCTCAACCCAGTTTAACCTGGGTGCAGGACAAAGGGCCTGTGCGCAGGACTCCTACCCGCACAGGCACCTCAACCCCCACACCTCCTCCCCTCTCCCTTTCTACCTAAGCCCTGCCAGTCCAGGATCTCCACACACAGAGCCCATCTGCTGGTATAGCTGAGAAATGCAGCCCAGAGCGGGACTGCTGCCTGTGAGTGCAGAGCCCCTGGTCAGCCTGTTCCAGAGAGGCCGCTCCCCATCGGCCGTTCTCACGCTGCTTCGAGCAGGGAGGGGCCATGGGTGCCTCTTCCCGTCCCCAGCCGACCCCCATGCTTCTCAACATTGCTCAACCGCGAACCAGAGTGCATTCCTGAGTGGGGGCCAGGCCACCCAGCCACCGCAGCCCTCAGAGCTCAGAGGCCAGGGCAGGGGGACAAAAAGGACAGCAGGGTCAAGGGCTAGGACATCTTCCCTCCCTCCTCTCGCCAGCCATCCTAGTCTCGCTGAGGCCAGGGTGTAGAGACAGCCCGGGTGAAGCCTGAGGGAAAGGACTGGTGTCCTGGGCCTGGCCCAGCTGGGTTGGGCCCTGAATATTCGTGTCTAGATGGGGATGATGGGAAGGAAGAAGGGAGTGAAAGTCTTCCAGACCATGAAGCAGCCCTAGGTTATGCGCCCCCTCCAGGCCCTGGAGAACAGGGTTACACTCACCAGCCAGCATGTGGGGGTTTAGGGAGCCTCACAGGCAGCCCCATTTTCCTCCCCATTGTGCAACCTTGAGCCCACCCCTTAGGCCTCAGGCTTCTTCCCTGCAAATGGGGCTACAGCCACGCCTCTCACGGTAGTATGAGGATTGAAGAGGGGCTGCCACCCCCAACCAGCCTTCATCTCTTTGCTGGGACCCAAGAGACAGGGCCCTGCAGCACAAAACTCCGTTTCCCTTGGAGCGCTTTGGAAGCACCAAGTTTTCCAGCTTCAGGAAGGAAGGCCCTGCCCAGCCTGCCCCAGCCCCTTCCCCAACCTCAGGGTCCCCCTACTGGTGCTCACAGGTCAGGGGTGAAATTTGGCTGTTGAGCTGTGAGCCCTGCCTCCTCCCTCCTCCAGGAGCTCCTCCCCACGGGGGTTATACCATGTGTATACTGTGTGTATACTGTGTGTGAAGGGTGAATTAAATGGTCCTGGGATAGGTCTGGAAGGGTTGGCCCAGGTGTGAGATGTTGTGCTTCACAGGATCCTTCCAGACCCACCGCTGCTGGGCTGCCTTCCTCTTGGGGAATTGTGGATCTCCTCCACCTTGTTGTTCTTGCCAGGCTTCCTGTAGCTGATCACATGCTTAGGCTTGACTCTGGGTTTGTGCTTGGAAAATGACACCAGGCATGGCTGTAAAGAAGATGTTTTTGGGCCAGGGATTTAGCTCAGTGGTTCTGCCACCTGCCTCGCAAGCGCAAGGTCTGGAGTTCACTCCCCAGTACCAAAATAAAAGGTGTTTTCTTTCAGCCTCTTGCCCAACCCCCATTCCTCAGACCTGCCTGTTTCACCTCCTTATGTCCTGGGCAGGGTGAGCCGGGACACTCCAGGGTCTGAGGAAGTACCTGGCTTGCTAGCAGCTACTGGCTGTCCTCTACCCAAGTCAACATCAAGGCTGGGGCTCGCCCTTGTGGCTGATACTAGGAAGTGTATTTGCCCTGGTCCTGGCCAGGGTGAGGAGGGACTCACTTGGCAGGGACCAGGCTGTCCCCATGCTGAAAAAGCTGAGGCTTGCTCCAGCATCTGGATGTGAAGACCTCTGATCACCCCTCCATTCTCACCCGGTCAGACGGCTCCGTTTCATGTACAGGACACTGAAGCTCTGAGAGTGGGGAACCCGGTCTGTGAGGCTGCCCAGAGCTTGGTGCAGTGGCCCCATTTATTATGCTGCTCTGCCTCTCATCGAGAGAGCACATCTCCCAAAGCCCCACTCTGGGGCTTGGTATCTTGTCCCTGGGTTGCTGGCCAGTCCTGGTTATCCCAAGTGAGCACTCAGTAGCCAGCTGGTTCCCCGCCTTTCCTGGAGTCCGAGGCAGCTGCCCAGCCACTGGCTGTTCGAACGATGGCCTGGACCACAGCGATGAAGGTGGGAGTGACCTCAGTTTGGTGATGCCGGGTCTTCAAGCCTGCAACTACTGCCTAGGGGTGAGAGGACAGGGCGCTCAGTGGGGCCTCAGATATGGTCTAAGCCGTCCGATGTGGTCATAGAACTCACAGAGCCAAATGGTGCCATTTCTAACCAAGTGACCAGGAAGAGCAGGCTGGGGCACCCAGCCTATGAGGTCCCATTGGAGCAGGTGGCTGGGCCTTCACTGCACAAGGGCTCAGGATGACCCGGGCAGCAGGCATAAGGACCATGTCACCTGGGCAGAGGACGACAGCCATTGTCCACTCTGTGATGACTCAGAAGATACAGGCCTGCAGCCCAGGAAACCCTATGGCCCCACACCATGACTCAGTTTCCCCAACCTCCAGCTCACCTCATCAACATCCTTCTCCAGTGTTGTGATATTAGGCAGAAGCTGGTTGTGCAGCCGGGGCTCCTCCACTGCCCGTTTCATATCGTAGCCAAACCAGAGGTTATGGATGATGGTCTGGGGGTGGGAGGAGGTGGCAAGGGGTCAGCATGGCTCAGGGATGGGGCAGGGAGGGAAGGTGGAGGGAGCATACCAGTGCAGCAGCTGTGGTGATCTGTGTGCCTCCAGAGGCTCCCACCACCATCTGGACCTTGCCGTCCCTGCCCACAATGATCGACGGACACATGGATGAGAGTGGCTGCTTCCCTGTGGCCCACGGGAGGGGACAGAGATGCCGGTCAGCTGCCTGTTCAGGAAACCAGCTCTCTCTCAACACAAATCACCTGGCCCGGACTCCCCACCCTGCACCTGGCTCGATGAAGTTGGCCGGTGAAGGGGACACCCCAAACTGGTTGGTGAAGTTGGGAGAGCTGAAGTCGTCCATCTCATTGTTGAACAGGATGCCGCTGACTTGGGAAATGACCTTGGAGCCAAAGCTGTGGACGGACCAGGTCAGAGAGCTGTGCCCACCCCAGTGCAGCCCTGCGGGTCCCTACCCGCCCACGCCAGCACAAGCTCACTCCCTGGGAGGCCCGAGCAAGATGGGGCATCTGTTTCCCGCCACGGAAGCGGGAGGCCCCGGGGGGACACACAGGCAGCCTCTGGCACTATGCCACCCAAGAGCCTCACGACCCCTACTAGAGGTTGATGGTGCTGGTGGCAGACACAGCACTGCCGTCCTCCGAGACCACAGACAGGTGGGCAGTGCCCCCATCGTTAGGTGTGTAGTATTCGGGCTCATAGTAGGAGACTGGGTACGTGGTGTCGTCAGAGATTCGGGCTTGAAGCTGGACTGCGAAGAACTCGGAGCTCATGTTGTGGATCACCTGCCGAGACCCCAGAGCCGGCCTGAGGAGGCGGGAAGGGAGGACGGGGGCAGGCACAGGGCTGTCGACCAGGTCTCAGGAAGCCCTTACTGTGGACTGACCACAACCTTCCTGTACCCTAAGCCCACTGGAGCTCCCCAGGGCCCACAGGGAAGCCCCAGAATCTCCCGTGGCCCATTTCCTCCTCTCTCTAGCTTCTGTCTTTGTCTGTCCATCCCTCAAGCCTCCAGTCTTGCCACATTCATTCCTGCAAGCATCTATGGAGCTTGTACTGCATGTCCGGAATGAGGAATCAACAGGAAAGAGACGTGTTGGTCCCTGCCCACATGGCAGAGGAGGAAACAATAGCAGGGAAGGAAAGTGGTGGTAATAAGGCAGGATTAGAAGGCGCAGAGTATGGATAGAGTGGTCAGGGAGGACTTCTCAGAGGAGGTGCCATCTGAGAAGAGCCCAGAATGAGGCCTAGTGGGTAAATAAAGGCCCTGAGCCATACTCTTGAGTGAAATGAACAGGACACACGTGTAAATACCAAATGGTTTCTCTGGGGTGAGAAACTGAAAGTGTAAATAAGGATTAAAATGATTAAAACGAATAATTGATAATGTGAAATAGGAAGAAAAGGTCCAAAGGGGTAGGGGTGATGGGAGGGGACGGGGAAAGGAAAGAAGGGAAAGGAAAAATTATAAAAGGAAAAAATGGAAATAAAGTCTTTGTAAATAGGGAAGGGTGGAGGGGGTGAAGGGAGGGCTAGGAATGGGGAAAAAATAAGAACCAAGATCCATCATGTACAGGTACAAGGACCCAATGATAAATGTAAACGTATTGTATGCCTAAAATGTACCAATAAAAGAATTTAAGCAAAAAACCCCAAAAAAACAAAGGCCCTGAGGCAGGTGGCGCAGGTCTGTGGCTGCCAGGCAGAGTGCATGAGATAGGGCAGAGGACATGGAAGACACTGGCCAGGGCCCATTCTGTAGGGCCTCATAGGTCCCATAAAGACTGACTCTGGCTTTTGCCCTGAGCCATCTAGCCCTGGGGCAGAGGAATGAGTTTACTGGAAGGCGGTTTCACAGAGTCCCTCTGGTGGCCAAGTGGGGAATAAGAACCCGGCTATGGACACTTATGTGAGAGATGATGGTGACTTGCCCCAAGTCGGGGGAAAAAACGGAATAGAAGGCCTGGGGATTCAGCTCAGTGGTGCACACCTGCCTCACAAGTGCAAGGTTCTGAGTTTGATCCCCGGTACTGAGAAAGAAGAAGAAAAAAAAACAAAAAAAAGAATAGAGGATAAGCTAAGTCTAGTGATGCACGTCTGTGATCCCAGAACTCTGGGAGGTTGAGGCAGAACAATTTCAAGTTCAAGTCCAGCCTGGGCAACTTAGCAATTTAACCTCTGTCTCAAAATTAAAAAAAATTTTTTTTAATGTCCTGGGTTCAATCACTTAGAAACAGCTCAGTGGCAGAGTGCTTGTCTAGCATCCTCGATACCCTGGGTTCCATCCCTAGGACCACAAAAATATAAATAAGAAAGCTGGGGATAGAGCTCAGCAAGAGCGCTTGCTTAGCATGTGTGAGGCCTTGGGTTCACCCCCCCGGCACCAAGAGAATACACACCAAGGGAGTGAGCATGAGTCTGGCAAGTGCCCCCTCGTTAACAGCGGGGAATGAGCTGTTATAGGGGAACTTGGTGAGTGGTGGAGAGGAACAGAAGGGAGAGTCTTAGCCAGGAGGGAGGGCAGAGCTGGGCTAGGTGGGGAGGCTTCTGTCCCCTTCGGAGAGACAAGACACAGGCCACCGGCTGCAGGGCAGGTGGGGGTTCAACATGCTTATCAGAGAACGCTGAGGCCCCTCCTGGCTGCTCACAGGTCAACATGAGTAGGGTCTGCAAGTCCATGGGGAATGCCAGGGATCCAGGTAGGTAGGAAGGAACCTAGGGACCCAGCAAGAGGGGAAGTGAGAGGGATCCTAGTAGAGCCCTTGCATGAATCTGTGCTCCTGGCCAAGTAAATGGCCAGGCAATGCTGGGTCCAGGGTGGGGGTCTTGGAAGCATTAGTTCCTGGGTGTGACCAGGGAGCATGCTGCCATGACCTCTGCCTCTCTGTTCCTCAACCCTTGGTAGATCTTCTTAGCATTCCTGAGGGCTGCAACACTCCCATCCATGTCACCTTAGTACTGACCATGCCAGAACCTTCCAAGCTGAAGGGCCAGCATATGCAAAGGCCCTGAGGCAGGAGTTGGCCAGAAAAGGGGAGCACTAATTACCTGCTATCCAGTCTGTTTCCCCAGCCCTCCCAACTATAAGCTCCACGATGCAAAGGCTAGGACTTAGGGTAACCAGTACATACCAGCACACTGTAGACCCCCGGTCAACATTGGTGGCAGGAATGGGTTCAGAAAGCGTGTATGAGCCTGGGGTAGTCCTGGGTGCCTCATCCTTGCCACCTGTGAGCCAGCCCCTTACCTTAGTCACATCAACAAACTTGGGGTCCCCAAGCAGGGTCCTCTTGGCGTAGGCGAACCGGAAGGCCTCCACGATGCGGTGGTATGTCAAGGCCTTCTGCTCAGGTGTGCCCACGCTCGCCGGGGAGAAGTTGTACCCTGGTTGGTCGGAGTCAGATGTTTATTGGCAGCCCAGGCATACAGAGAGGTTCGAAGGGGTAATACCTTCCTGAGCCATGCTGCCCACCTTGAGAAGCAGGAGCTGGCTCAGAAAGGAAGGCAGGGGCACCCAGCCTGGGCCTCACACATCCAGCCCAAGGGCTCCATGGTCTAAACCGGGAGGTGCTCTCTAGGCCAGGCCCCTGTCCTGAAATCTCATGCCTGTCTCCCTCCCGACCACTCCTTGTCCTCCCACCCCTGAGCTCTGCCACCCTGGCCAGCCCTGGTCACTCACACCACCTCCTGCAGCAACAGGGCGAGCCAGGAGGTGGCGCCACACCGAGCATGCTGGGTGACTGGAAGACAAAGGGTGGGGAGGCCTGTGCTGCAGAAGTCGCTGCAATGGAGTGTAGGGAGGGAGAAGCAGAGTCATGTGCCCCTCTGCAGGGCCATCGCGGGGCCACTCACCCTTGAGGATGTTGAGGATGAGAACCAGCACAGGCCCACTGAGTGGGGCGCTGGGCACATACAGCACCGAGTCCCCAAGGCTGATGTTCAGCGGATGCTCGATCAGCTGAGCGCGGTAGTTGTTCAGGTCCTCGGTTGTCATGATGCCCCCTGCAATGGGACAGTCACTCAAGTGGACATGGGGATGGGGCTGCAGCATGGTAGGGATCTGGGGTGCATTACGGGGGGCCTGAACTGCAAACCTGGGCAGAAGGGTGGGGATTGCAGCATAAGGGAGGAACAAGGGTACACTATTGAGGGCAGGGCTCTGCACGGAGACTCACGGAGGGCTTCATAGTTGAGTAGAAAGACAGGGTTGCACTACAGAGGGAAGATGGGGCTGCACCATCAGAAAGGGTCACAGGGGCTTCAAGCTGGGAGCCTTGCCCCTCCTTGCAGGCTCAGGCCTTCTGCTCTCCCTAACAGTGCTTGCCATACCAGCCAGGCCAAACCGGTCATCCTCAACCTGCTTTCCTCCTGGGCTTTCCTGCCGGCCTTCTCCCCTCTCTCTGGCCACAGGATCTTTTCCAGGTGGAGAACACCTGCTCCTATGTCCTCTCTGCTTGCTCCCTCTTCCCTTGATGAATGGGTGGCTGGAGGGAGGCCCTTAATTCTCCAGGAAACTGGCTCCAAATAGAGTAGTTACAGGCTAATTTTTAGCATTAATACTAAATGCCAACATGCTAATCACCCTTCCATAAAACATGGACAAACATAACATTAAAAAGGGCACAGCTAGGGCCAGGGATTTAGCTCAGTTGTTCCGCCACCTGCCTCGCAAGCACAAGGACCCGAGTTCAATCCCTGGTACCAAAAAAAAGGGGGGGGGCACAGCTAAGCCCCCACAAAGCCCCTCTAGGCGGGCATGGCGGTGCAAGCCTGTAGTCCCAGCACTTGAGAGGTTGAGGCAGGAGGATTCCTACCAGTTTGAGGCCAGCCTGGGCTACATAGTGAGTTTAAGGGCAGCGTGCACTGCAAAGCAAGACCTCAACTCAAAAATGAACAAACAAGAAACAAAAACCCCCTCTAATGCTTCTCTCCTGAGCCCATCCTCAGCCCCTGTGAGTCTCTCCGGGAATCAAAATCCCTCTCTGCATCTCAGCCCAAGCTTTTCCACCTACTTAGGAATCTCTGCACCCATCACAGCTGTCTGCAGCTCAGCCACCACTCCTTACAGGAAGGCTTCTTGGACCCTCGGTCAGCACTTGAGAGCTTCCTCAGCCCCAGTTCCTGCCTACACCTGCATTAACCCACTGGGACTTTCTTCCTGGACTGCACAGGCTCTGTGATTGAGCCACGTGTGACTGCATGTGGCCTGTTACAGACCCTCCCCTGTGAAGAACTTCCTTAGGCCCCAGTGCCCGGTGCAGACAAGACAGGAGGGCCTGGGGTCGGGACCTTGGCTCCAGGATCCCAGTGCAGGGTTCCCTGCTCAGGCTCTGAGGCCACCCACTCACCAGCCTCCCGGATATCCTTCAGGATCTGGGCTGTGAGGCTCCCGTTGTAGAAGGCCTGGGCCCCCTCTCGGGCCAGCGTCTCGTACGTGTCAGCCAGCCGTGGCATAGTCACTGTTTCTCCCTCCTGGAGCACCTTCCCATTCCGGCAGAAAATCTCACTGGGGCAGGGAGAACTCAATGTGAGGCAGCAGGTGATGTGGAGTCAGCTGGACCACCCTCACGCCCACCCCCATGCACACCTCCTTTTCAACCTGCGTGGCTCCCCTTTGTTCTTAAGGGAAGGACAGCAAAGAATGGGCAGGGCCTGTCCACAGGTGGGTGGCTCTGTCGCTCAGGGCTCCTAGTGTCCCATGCCACTCCAGCTACATGGCCTACCACAGTGTCCACTAAGGCCCAACCGAGACCCCCACCCAGTGCAGGTTCCTCAAGGCAGAGCACAGCTCTACCAGGCCCTCTCCAGTGTCAGGAACTGTGGGTGGCAGGCCCGTGCCTGCAGACAGACGTACCACAGGGCAGGCGTCTGCTCAATAACAGTCTGTGTTCTGTTCAGGGCTCCTGCCAAGCCCTTGCCCACAGGGAAGCCCTCACGGGCCAGCTGGATGCTAGGCTGGAAGAGGCGATGCCAAGGCAGCCGCCCATGCCGCTGGTGCGCCAACTCGTAGCCTCGGATCTCACCAGGAACTGCCACTGACATCCCGCCTGGGGACAGAGAGAGATGTGGCTAGTGGTCCCAAGCAGGACAGCATCCTACACAACTTTCCTAGAGAGGGCTAGTGACACTTAGAGGGAAATGGAGTAGGTGTGTTTGTGTGAGTGTTTGTCTGTTGCTGGGGATCAAACCCAGGGCCTCACAAATGCCAGGCAAGTGCTCTGCTATGGAGTTATAACCCCAGCCCAAGGAAAGAGATTTTTAAAATCCTATCTGGGTTTGACAGGCAAAAGATAGGAATGTCTGGTAGGGGACAGGACGGGGCGCTGGTGTCACATGGGCTAGCTTTTGCTGTTCCAAGGTCAGATGTCTTTCTCCAAGATGCCCCCATGTGTGTAATGTTGTACCAAGACCCTGGTTGCCCAGCGAGACTGGGGAAGCCAGACCTCTTCCACCTCTCAGTCTAAGCCACCCCTAGCCACAAGGCCTCTTGTCCCATAAAATGCCTGAGCTCTACCAGCACTTGTCAAGGCAAGATCAGGCCCTGCCCTGGTCCTACTGGTAGCTCAAAGCCATGCCAATCCCAGGGAAATGACATTCGTCCTCTTTGCTACTGCCCTGAGCCCTAATCCGCACCTTGTCCTCTCCCCACACCTCAGTTTCCATCATCTGACTATTCGGGGTCTTATCTTCCAGTGAGGACTTCCAGGAGCCCATGGTTTCATTGGAAATAGACCCCTGGGCCTGATTGCCCATTGAGCCCTGTGGGTGCTACATCCAAAGCCAAACACCGACAGCTTTGCCCAGAAATGCAGTCAGGGGTCCTGCCCCCTTCCCTCCTGCTTTCACCACTGAGGTGCTCGGGGCCACTCTGCTTCCTCTCAGGTTTGGCAGCTGCAGCTCTAGAACCACACGTCCCTGTAGCAGCCCAAAACTAGGTGTGAGTTTCCAAGAGCCAGGCTATTATGATCCTGGGAAGATCTGACACTTAACACACAGTTCCTCCCACTTAAAAAAAAAAAAAAGGAAGGAAGGAAGAAGCCTCCCTGACCTTGGGGTAATCGGGCTCACAACGCCCTACATGCCAGGCTCTCAAGTGACCCCCATGCTGCACTCAGTCTAACGGGGCTCGTCATTCTTTCTTCCTGCATCACGCCCACTCGATCCCCTCTTCCTCTGCCCGCAACTTTGTCTCCACCACCTCCTGTCTCTCTCAGTGATCTCCCCCTGCTCTGGGCTTCAGCTCCCATTTGTGCACTGGCCTGGACTCCTTCCCTGACTGCCAGTCCCAAGTATCCCCGTGCTCATTCAAATCAGGCATCTCAGCATAGCATACCCCAAATCGCACTGCTGAGCATCCACCCAAACCCACCCACTAACAGCCCTGCCTGTCTGCTAGGGCCACCCCTTCCACCTGACCCAAAGACTTTGGGGTCATCCACAACTCCCCACACGTGAGTCCTACCCAAACTGTTGTCAAATTGCAGGCTCTGTCAGGTATTTTCAGCACCAGCCGCTGTCCACCGCTCTCCACTCTCCCTGAATTATTGTGATGATTGTCTAACAGGTTCCCTACTGGCTCCCTGCCCATTACACAGCAGCCCAAGGGGTCCTATTATCCATAAACTAGATTTTCTTCCTCCACTGACACTCCAGGGGCTCCCATCTCACTCAGACAAGAAGCAGGGGCTTCACAGTGACCTCTGAGGTCCCATCCAGCCTAGGCCATTCTCTGGGGCCCTGTGTCTTCCCCCTCCTCCTGGGTCACTTGTTGGCAGCCTCCGGGGCTCCCTGAAGGGCTCTGTCCCTGCCCATCCCACCTGGTTCACTCAATCTTCCCCATCTTCGCTGAGACACTCACATAGCTACACCCAGCCCAACCCCTCCTTGGGTCTCTACCCCGGACCAGATCACTCTCTGTAAAACCTTCTCAAGGGCTGGGGATTTAGCTCAGTGGTTCCACCACCTGCCTTGTAAGCGCAAGGTCCTAAATTCAATCCCCAGTACCAAAAAAAAGAAAGAGGGGCTGGGGATTTAGCTCAGTGGTTTTGCCACCTGCCTTACAAGCGCAAGGTCCTAAGTTCAATCCTCAGTACCAAAAAAAAAAGAAAGAAAGAAAAACCTCCTGCTCAGGCTCCCCAGCTCTGCTGTCCCCATAGCACATGGCACCCTGGCATTTGTGCACCCTTCCCTGCCCAGCTGCGATGCTAGCTGGCCCAGGCTACAGGTTGTCTGTCTGTCTTTCTTTCTTTCTTTCTTTCTTTCTTTCTTTCTTTCTTTCTTCCTTCCTTCCTTCCTTCCTTCCTTTTTCTTTTTGAGACAGGGTCTCACTATGTAGTTCAGACTGGCCTCGAACTTGCTGATCCTCCTGCCTCAGCCTTCCCAGCACTGGGATTACAGGCCTGCCGCCACCACGCCCAGCTTTCTTTCAAAACAGAGCCTCATTACATAGCCCAGGCTGGCCTTGAATTCATGGTGATTCTCCCGTCTCAACCTCCCCAATGCTAGGATTACAGGTGTGCGCCACCACACCCAGTTCTTTGCTTTATATCCTGGCTTTGGGAACAGTGCCTGATGCTGTAAGGGGCTCAATAAATCCTAGTTAAATAGTGAATTCCAAGTGTCTACAAGATGCTAAGTCCATAAGATTCCAGCATTTCCACACAGTGAGCAATTTCATTTCTACATGTTTGGAGTTTCTCAGTGAGTATAAAAATCAAAGACTACAGAGGCCCGGGATTTAGCTCAGTGGTTCTGCTGCCTGCCTTGCAAGTGGAAGGACCTGAGTTCAATCCCCAGTACCAAAAAAAAAAAAAAAAAGATCAACGACTACGCTTGTTGGGGAGGAATCAGGGGGCACCATTCAGGATCTCCCCTGAGGTATCAGAACTGCCACTGGGGTAGTATCCCAGCCTTCCAAACTCTTATTCTGCAATCCATTCTACCTGCTCTGAGGGGCACTTCGAGCGGCCACTGGCTCCCCCTCATCTACCTGAAGAACTTGGGAGTCTCTTCTCTACTTAAGGTCAGGTGAGAAAAGAGAGGCTGTGCCTCACTCCAGATGGCTCTCCTCACAAATGAATGAATGAATGAATGAGCTGTTAAAAACACAGGATTTCGACAGCCTGTGCTCAATCCCTGCTCTACCATATCCCAGCTGTGTGACCTCAACCAGTTTGCGTGATTTCTCTGGACCTCAGCATCACCACCTGTAAAACGAGAATCAACACAGAATCCCCTCCTTATCCTGGAGAGTACAGACAGGACACAAAGGGCTCATGGCGAAAAGCACTGAGCAGGTCTGGCCCCACTGACCCTGGGAACACGTGAACTGTTATAATAATGCAGCTGTACCTCAGCATCTGTGGGGAACTTGTTCCAGGACCCATGCCCTGAGGATGCCAAACCATGAATACTCAAGTGCCCTGTATAAAATGGTGCAGTATTTGCATATAACTTACACACATTCTCCCATATTCAGACATGTCCAATCTTATGTCTCCAACCTGTAGCCTAGGGGTTGGAAACACTTGCCTTCCCTGGGCCACACTGAGTGAGGTATCTTGAGCCACATATAAAATATATAACATAGTTAATATATATAAGTAACAAAATTTCCTTTTAAAAATATTTTTAGAGACAGGGTCTTGCTATACAGTTCAGGCTAGCTTTGAACTATGTAGCTCAAGCTAGCCTCACACTAGGGGAAGATCTTCCTGCCTCAGCCATCTGAGTGCTGGGATTACAGGTGTGCACCACTACTCCTGGCCAAAAAATATTTTTTAACAGCATACCCAACTGTAGCAGACATCCCTGCCCAGTACTAGTGGGCTATGAGTGGCACATGTGTCTTGCTTTCCCTAATTCGGCTATATTATTTTATATCGTGAATCAGACCAAAGACCTATGTGACTCAAACGGGCATGTCAGATAGCAGAGTTGGGCTAGTAATGCTCATTTGCTAATGGCTGTAACTGAGGCGTAAGTCCTGGTCTGTGAAATGGCAGGGTTCTGCTGAGTTTCATGCAGCTGAGGTCACTGTGACCCCAATTAAAATGTGTTCCCCTGAATTATGGCTTCTCATTGACCCAATGGGTTGCATGCTAATTGCACCCAGTCTCAGTACTGGTTTGTTCTATCCAAGCGAGATAAGCAGTGCTTACTCCCTTACAGCCCTGCCTGGTGACTTCATGCCAGGTGTTCAGCAGTATTTCTTCTTTTTTTTTTCAGCAGTATTTCACTAGATGCCTTCAAAACATACTCTGCTCCCTACTCCTTCCCTTAGTTATATTCAGTAAATGCTGGATGAGTTTGGGGGCCTTTGTCTTTGTTGCCTAGAGCAGCACTGATCCAGCTTCTCTCTAAGTCTTGTTTCCTGTCTTTATTCTTTCCTGTCACCCCCCCCACCCCGTACCAGGGATTGAACTTACGACCTTGTGATTGCAAGGCAGACACAGTGCCACTGCCTGTCTTTACTTTTTTTTTTTGTACCAGGGATCAAACTCAGGTCCTTGCCCTTGCACAGCAGGCTGCGAAACCACTGAGCTAAATCCCCAGCCCTTAGCCTGTCTTTATCTTTATTCTTTTTTTGTTTTTGTTTTTGTTTTTGGTTCCTGGGGATCTAACTTGGGACCTTGTGCTTGTGCTTATGAGGCAGGCAGCGGAACCACTGAGCTAAATAAATTCCCAGCCCTGTCTTTATTCTTCAATTAGCCTTGTGCTGTTGTGGCTCACAGGAGACCAGGACCCACTGCAGGGGTTCTGGTAATGTCCCCTTTCCCATTCCCTATACCCAACCTGTGGTTCACAGGTTGGATAATCATCTCTTTATTACTTATTGTACTTAATCCAATGTAAACGCAATGTAACTAGTTGTTTATGGAATAAAGACAAGGAAAAAATGTCCATATATGTTTTGGGGGGGTTTTTTTAGACTTTTTTTTTTTGGTACGGGGGATCGAACTCAGGACCTTGCACTTGCAAGGCAGGCACAGTAGCACTGAGCTAAATCCCTGGTCGTGTTTATATATGCTCAGTATGGACATAATTTTTTTTCAATACTGAGGATTAAACCCAAAGTCTTCACACTGAGCTATATCTCCAGCCCGTTTTTATTTTTTATTTTGAGACAGGGTCTAAGTCATTAAATTGCCAAGGCTGGGCTTAAATTTAGGGTCCTTCTGCATCAATCCTCCCAGAATGCTGGGCTTACAGGTGTGCACCACCATGCCTGGCTCAGGTGCTGAATCCATGTATGTGGAATTCACAGATAGGAGGGCCCACTGTGAGTATTCTTTCCTCCTACAACCACCTACAACCACATTGTGGCCATGGAAGGGCTTGAGCAGAAATCATAGAAAAACCTGTCTCTCCCCTCCACCCGATATGTTTGCCGTTCATTACAGGAGGGCGTTATGGACGCAGGAAGGAATGGAAGGAATGCCAGCAGTGTCCAAGGCCCTGGACAGGGGCACACTCATATGGCTGAGGCAACTTCCCCGTGGCCCTAACCTCCCACACGGCTTACCTTTCTCAGACTCCTTCGAGCTGTTGAACATGCTGATGTAAGCCATCCTGGGCGCCACCTCGCGGGCGTTGATAATCTCAGCTTTCCCTGAAAGAAGCAGGTTGGCAGGCCGAGCAAACCCCTCCCCGTGAGGAAGCCCAGGGGCCACCCACCCACATCCATCCTGAGTCCCACACCCCTTGCCACTGGCCCTCCCCGAGGCACTCACGCGTGTAGCTATCGTAGATGGTGAGAAACAGGCCGCCGCCAATGCCCATGCTGTGAGGATTCATGAGGCCAACGCAGAGTAGGCCCGCGATGGCTGCGTCCACTGCTGAGCCTCCATCCAGCAGCACGTCCCTGCCGCACACGGGAGAATGAGATCCTAAGGGCTCCCAGCCCCTACAGACCCTGTCGTCACCATCCCACTTCCACAGGCTACCCTGCCCAAAGGCAGACAGAGGAGGAAGGTGTAAGATTTTTTGGTTGTTAAAGACTTAAGTTTCCTCTTTTCTAATCAAACCAGCATACATAACTTATTTAACTTTTTAAAAAAGAAAAGAAATACGGTGCTTTGCTTGTTTTTTGTTTTTTATTTTGAGACAAGGTCGAGACAACCCTAAGTTGCCCTAGCTCACCTCAAATTGCAATCCTCCTGCTTCAGCCTCCCAAGTAGCTGGGATTACAAGAGTGTGCCACTAGGCCCACCTTAGTTATTTTACTATTAATAATATTTTCTCTGCTTAAGTCTTCAAGTGGAAACTGATCTTTGTATACGTGAGATAGGAATCGAAAATAGGGTTTATCCAAAGAGACAGGTACTCTTAGAACTAGCTCAAGGAACCCTCATGGTTGCTGGGAGACCAACCCTCTGATCTCCACTCTGCCACTTCTCCCCTGACCCGAGGCTGCAGAGAGGGTCCAAGGAAAAGGTGGCAGCTCAATGCACAGTGGACACTCCTAGTCCAGGCAGCCTGTTTATAGGTGGAGAAACTGAGTCCAGAGAGACAAAGGTCTTGCCCAGGTCTACTTGCACAGTTGTCTTCCAGGGCCCGTGGATGCTCCCACCCCCTGCCCCACACCCTCCCCCAGGTCAGGTGGTCCCACTTACCTCCCAATCTCCGAGCAGCGCTTGGCATCAGTGGCCACAGCGGCCCTGGTGTACATGTGGTCGGGCTTCTTGGAGGTGGAGGGCAGCCAGAGGCAAAGGCCGACGATGACCAGTATCAGAACCACAGCCAACAAGCCCAGCACTACAAACTGCTTCTTCATGACTCTGCCGCACAGCGGAGGGCAGGAGCGGGGTCAGGCTCAGCCTTGGGCACTCCCAGATCCCTCTCCCACGGGGGACAGTCTAAAGTTGAGGCTCAAGAATAGCCCTGTGCCCCTTTCAGCCCTCCTAGAACATGTGCGGGTGTCCAGGCCCTAGACCTTTGACTGGGACATTCCTTCTTCCAGGAGCTCCGGGCCTGTCTCTGCCCTTCCAAATCCTCCCTGTTAATCTGCAGGGCTCCTCCCTTAAGAACCCCGTGGCCAACAGGGACCCTTTCCTGGGTGCCACTTCAGACTCTATGTGTCTTGTCAACCTCCTTACAGCAGCCAAGCCTTGCAGGGAGCTCCAGGAAGGACAGGCCTAGCTTTATTCCTTCTGTGCTCCCTAACCTAGCCCAGAGCCTGGCACTGTCCTTGGTCTGTCAAGAGCAGCCCAGCATAGAGCATGGGGTTAAGCATCCGTTCCCCCCAGTCTCCTGAAATCTGCAACCAGCTACCACAGGGTCAGAGCTTACCGTTCAGCAGTGGGTGAGAATCCCAAGCCTTGTCTAGGAAGATAGCTCCGAAAGACAGGAGAGTTTGGCAGAACACTGCTGGAGAAATAACTGGGGTCTCCCTTGTGCTCTGCAGTACCCTGTGGCCACAGAATCTTCCCGAAAGATTCCTTCACCAGGCAGCTCCCTTGTTCTCCTGAAATCATAAGGATGGACCTGAAGAAGGCCCAGCCCTTTCCGGGGGGGGCTCGATATGACCTCCCTTCACCTCTGGCTGGGTTTTCTGGCTCCAGTTGAAGTCTGGAGTCAAAGAAGCTATCAGTAGCACACATGTCTGCATGAATTCTCCCAGTGTTTCTCCCAGGCACAAACCCAGAGAGTTGGCAGAGTGGGGAGGGTATGGGGTACTCCTGCACAAGCCCAGGGGCAGTGGCACGTCATGTGACAATGGGGGGGCCAAGGGACCGGAGCCAGCCTGCCCACCTCTGAGTCTGGACCTGCTGTGGAGTTTTGGCAGGTCATTTCTCTGTCCAGTGCTGGCCTCACTGATCAGTAGTAATGATAGAGGTGGTAGTGAATTGAGTGGGTTAAAAGGTAGAGAGTTGTAAGTAATTGTTAACTACCATTATTACCATGGCTGTACTAAAGGGGTGTCCCAGGATGCCTGCCGGGCATGGGAGAACATCAGTGGACCTCTTGCTGACTCTATATTTCTCTGTGGATTGTCTCTCAGCCTATGTGGAGGACTGCAGCAGCCTCAGAATCCCTATGGCTGTGGCAGCCAGTGAGGGGTTTGACCACAACAGGAAAAGGCGGGTGTGGTGACAGACACAAGGGTCTCCTCACTCAGATGCTATTCCCTCCAAAGGGCAGCACCCACCAGTGAGTCCCTCCATGGAGCCCCAAGCTGGCTCCCCCTCTGGTTTTCCTTGTCTCTGTTTAGAGCAACTGGATTCCCAGCCAGATACAGCATCCTAGAGAAGATCTAGCACAGGAGTCCCTGTGCCCCATCCCACACTCATGGGGGCATGCCTGAAATCAGAGTGGAAGGGCTTGGCAGGCATGGGGTGATGCATATAGCATGATAGCCTTTGGTCCCTCACCTTCCATGAGAAATATAGAGATCCACAGCCCTAGATGCAGAGAGAGACACTGAGGCCCAAAGCAGAGAGGCCTGGCAAGTAGCCATGCAGCAGACTGCTAACCTATGTCCCCAGTAGGGCTCGAAGCACCCCTCCTTTCTACCTTGAGCACTAGAGCCTGAATCCAGACATGATTCCAACCTGAACTCCATTCAGCCTCCTTCTGCTCTCCCACCAGCTCAGTCCTCCAAAACGCAGCTAGAGGGCTCTGTCTGTCCAAAGTGCCAACCAAGCCCTGCCCTCTTCCCTGCCCCAAAGATGGCCCACACTGTTCACCAGGCCTGACAGCCTTTGGGAACACAGGCTGGTGGGGATCAAGGTCAAGAGCTCCTCATGAGAAAGTCACACTGGAAGTCCAAGGGGCGACAGGAGCTGGGCCAGTGATGTGTGGCATCCATGGCAGCCACAGAACACTCCCATCACATGGAGTGGGGCAGGGGCGAGGCTTGGCTGGTACCACTTCCCGGTCCACTCTGGGCATCTCTGGCCTCATTTCCCCCAGGCCTGAGGCTGTGAGCTGACTCTTCCGAAGGCCCTTTTCTGAACCAGCCCTGATACCCTGATACATATTCCTGCTTCCTTATCCATCTGTCCACTGCAAGACCCAAGTAAGGGCACCCAGAAAGGCTCAGACTTCCAGGGGGTGTAGGAAGGGGAGGGGGCAGAACTGCCTCCCATTTCTCCTCCCCAGACACTGTGACAGGGAGGGCTGGCCTAGCCTCCCACAAGCAGATGGCCCCAGCCCAGCGGAAGACACCCTGCTGGGGGATTGGGCTTTCATTTCCCATCCCTCCACCCCTAAGTTTTTTCAGACTCCCTAAAAGAATGTCTATGACCATAGCCTGGCTCTCACCCAAACCAGTATCAAAGGGGAAACTGAGGCCAGAAAGTAGATTAGCGGCAAAGCTGGGCCTCAACCCAGACCCCTCCCTCCTTGTAATCCTGGTGGTTTACCTGAGGCCCAGGGGAGCAGCAGGGGCCCAGGAGAGAGACCCCTTCTTCCTCAGAAAATAGCTCTGGCCTGGGGCACCAGCTGGGGATGAAAAGGCAGATTTTCTGTCTGGGAAAGTTCTGGCCACAGATGGGGCCCCCCCAAGCAGCTGGAGCCACGCCTGCAGCCCCTGCAGAGCTCATCAGGGTGCCTCTGGATTGGGATCAGGATGTGGGGTGCACAGTCAGGAAAGGGACAGAAGGGGTCACAGGCACATGTGCTTACCTAGTGCCAGGGGGGCAAGAGGTCAGCTAGGGGGCATCCAGCATCCCTGCAGACAGCTGGAGGCATCTGAAGAGGGTGTAGAACAGGGAGTCCTCTGCCAGAGGTCCAGCCAGGCTGGGAGGACAGTCGGTGGCTGACGTCACAGGAGCAACAGAGGAGTAAGGAAGTGCAGTGACTGGGCTTGTCACCAGGTGATTAAAGTTCATCAGCCCTGGAAGGGCCTTGGGCGGGAGATGGGAGGTGCTGCGAGTCTGCAGAAAGGGTTCCCTTGTCTCAGACTGCGTTCCCTTCAAAGGGCAGCATCCACCAGTGAGTCCCTCCAGGAAGCCTCAGGCAGGGCCCCTCTGGTTCATCCTGTCCCTGTTCAGAGCATCTAAACTCAGAGGCAGACATGGTATCCCAGAGATGGCTCCTGGGGCGTGGGGTAGGAGTGTATCCTGCACCAGACAAGAGCCTGGACCTAAGAGACTCACCACACCCTGCTGCCGGATGTCAAAAGTGTGTTCTTAGAACATGGCCTGGAGGACCCAGTGACCAGACTGGTTCTGCTGCCAATCCAGGGACATTGGTACCCCAGGCCCAAGGAACTACCAGAACAGCCAGGGTCCCAGAGAAGGCCAGAGCTGTTCCTAGGTCACACAGCCCCAGCCCTGTGCCTGTCCCAGGTTGCTGTGTGTCCCTGACCAGCTAACCAAGGGAAGCAGCTGTGGACTCTGCCCAGTGGGCCCTAGACAATGCTCTCCATTCCCTCTTGACCCTCATCTGCCAAGGGCAGCATCTCCCCAAGCCATGCTGCCTCCCTACCTCCCCGACAGCTGTGTACATGAGAGGGTGAGTTCCCCATTGCCAGGAATGCGCAAGACTCACTCGCCCAGAGATGCTGACTCTGCTGTCAGCATCCAACACACATGTGAACACATACTCACACTTCCTCTCACACACACATACCCCAGAGCTGGACACAGGAAACAGGACAGCACAACCGGCCTGGAGTTTCCCTGCTAACTCCCCAGCCCAGCTCAAAGGCTGTGTCACCACCACTATCCCAGAGCTACAGGAGAGAAACCAGGGCAGAGACCTGAGGGCATTCTCAGACAGGAAACCAAAGCTTACACAAAAGTGCTCTGCCCAAGGTCAGCTGACCCTGAGCGACACCCATGGTGAGCCCAGGGCCCACACTACCCCACTGGCCCTTGACATGGAATCACGCCCCTCCTCCAGACCTCTGCGCTTTCCCCAGCCCTGAAGTTGGAATCCACCTCCCTCTCTGCCCAACCTGGTGTCACAGGGTTGAGAACTAGGGAAAACAAAAACAAAAATAACCCACCCCCTCTCCAGGGCTTCTTAACCACCGGCAGGAAACCTGTTGAAAGAGCTACGTATGCCTATGGTGACCTCAAAGTGGTGGGACCTCCTTGGAGCTGAGTAATGACTCATTGCAAAATGGGCTCCACCCCAGATACAGCCAGAGCACAGAGGGGTCAGCGTGATCCAGCACTTGCAGCCCCATCGCAGTTCCACTCACTCCGGAGCTGACCCCATGGGGCTGTCAGGTTCCCCTGGGCCTTGGTGCTTCCAGGCTGCACCCCTCCCTCTTAATTCCAAGTCCACTTACTGGGAGCCTCGGCTTCCTCAAGCGTTTCCTTAGGGGGATTAAATACCTCTGCTCCAGCCCCAGACGCTCACCCACAACCCCAGCGGAGCAAGTCACAAACCCTGGGCAAGGTGTCAAAACCCACTAATCAGACAAGAAACCCAATTCCAGGTGAAAGAAAGCACCTAGGGCCCTGCCTGCCTGTGCAGTCCCAGAGAAAGACCCATCCACAGCAGTGTCACCACCTCACCTTGAAGGCAGCTCACTCCTGCTGCACAGCTGTGTAAACCAAGGCTCCTGCAGGATCTCCTCTAGAGCACCGCTGGCACAGGGCAGAGCTGAGGGCTAGAACCTGGGCCTCCACACACTTCTGGGAGGGTCCAAGCCTGCCCTCCCTCACAATGATGCCCAGGAGCTCAGAGAGGGTGAGTCATGCTTCAGGGTCACACAGCCCTGGGGCACAGCCAGACACGTGCCTGGCTCACTTGACTCAAATCCCACAGGAGCACAGACCTAAGTCCTCAGCCCCAGCAGTGACCCAGCTCCTCCCCTGCCGGCCTAGGGTGGGAGGAGGCTTTAAAGGTACAGGAAGTATTCCAGGTGGGAAGAACCGCTGTGACCTGGAACAGCTGCAGCTCCCGAAGAATCTCCTAGGGTCCCAAAACCTTTAATGAGAAACCCAAGCCCAGGGGACCTCGATGGAGCTGAATGTGGCAGGCTTTCAGCCAGAGGCAGGTTAGGCTGGAGGTTCCCTGGGGGCGCCTGCTTGGCAAATGCAAGGTCCTGAGTTCAATCTCTGATACTACACACACACACACACACACACACACACACACGCACGCACGCACGCACGCATGCACACGCACACGCACACGCACACACAAAGAATTGCCCTCGGAGAGGCGATCTCCCCCACTTCAGATGTCCAAACAGGGACCACACAGAGCTGACGTACAGCCAAATGCCCATACCCTGAGGTCGGGTGGGGTATAGATATCTGTGGCCCTACAAAGTCTAAGGAGCCTAAGTTTTCCTCCACAACTCCAGTGTAGGGGGTACCTCTTCAAACACACACCCTTTCCCCCACTTTGCAGGGTAGGTAGGGGGTGTAAGGGATGTTGCTCCAATGATTCTGGCCTCCTGAATTGAAAGGAGTCACAGGACCAAGGGGAGACTTTCCTAATTTCTAATTTCCTGCTGACATCAGGGGTGGGGGGGAGGGCCCATCCATGCCTTCCCGCTTTGGCCCATTGAATATGGGTGCCCCACAAGGCTGGCAAACCTCTAAGCCCTTGCATCAAGGTCCACATGGGGTCTGTTTCCACCATTAGCACAGTGCTGGCTTAAACTCATTCATTCATTCACACCCCCACCCCCATCCCCGCTGATCCTAATCCTTCCAGATTCTACTCTCTAGGAGCCCCCAGCCTGGGGGAGGTAAGATAGTATCATCAGCCAAGGAGGAGGGGCCCAGGCTTTGAGGGAGGGGCAGACACTCGAATGAGGGGTTTGGAAATCCAGTCAGAGTGGAGGTTGGTTTAGGGAAGGACACTCAGGCGGAAGGAACCGTGTGAGCCTTCGGGCAGGGAACTAGAGTCTTCAGCAGCAGCAGTGAGTGCCCCTGGGGACCTCCTGACCTCCCCGGCCCTTTCTGATTCCTGAGGCGTCAAGGCTGGAAAAGGAAGTAGCAGAGCCTGGACCTTGAAGTTCACTTTAGCCTGGACTTTGAGAGCTCTGGGAGGCTGGTGAATATGTCACCATGCTGGGTAACCCATTAATCCTGGCTCACTCATTAAGAGCCTGGTAGGTGCTCATTAGCTCCTTAGCCAGCTCCAGAGCTGGCCTAGGCCAGGGGCCATGGGAAGAGGGAGTGTTGATGGGGAACTTGGTGGGGGCTGGCTGAGCTGTGAGCTTTCTGTGCCCTTGCTCCTGGAGGAGATTTTCAGCACCAGGCCGGCCTGGCAGTGGGAGTTGCATGCCACCATCCCAAAGCCTTTCATCTCCTAATCACCCCTTTGTGCTGGCACCAGCAGCACCTCAGGGGACTGGGCCAGATGGGAGGCTCAAGGGGCCTGTCTAGGGTGAGGTCAGGATCCAACTTAGCTTTCCTACAGAGAAATGGACTTGCAGTAGCCTCCAAGGCCCTTTCTACTACTCCAAAGGGTCAGGGCCGTCCCATTCCTGCTTTTGAGAAAAAAAGACTCCAGTAGGGGAAGAAGTGTGCTCTCAACACAGAAACCAAAGGCTGGGATGAAAGGGACCTGCCCAAAGCCACTCAGGAGGATGAAGACCTACAAGATGGGAAAAACCATGCAAACCACCTCCTGGAACTGGTATCTATCTCACTGCAGCATCCACAAAGCCCTACCTCTCTGTCAGGCCCAGGAAGCTGACTTCATGAGTACCAGGAAGTGTCAGGAACTCCAGAGTCTCGAATGGGCCTCTCAAAGGGCAGGGATAGAGCCCTGACACACTGAACTGCAGCCTCACTGTGAATAAGCAAAATGAGTGTGTCCAAACTTGCTCCATCCTCCAGAACTGCTGGGACAGGATCTCAGCAACCCTTGGGAGCCAGGAAACCAGATATCATCAAGGACATTTTTGTGTCTCCCATTTAGCAAACTGGTGGGATGAAACTGACTTCAAATCCAAGTATTATAGCCTTTTTAAAAATAATGGGAAGGCTGGCGATTTAGCTCAGTGGTTTCGCCACCTGCTGCACAAGCACAAGAACCTGAGTTTGATCCCTGGTACTAAATAAACAAATAAAAATATACTGGGGATTGAGCCCAGAGACCACTGAGCTATGTCCTCAGACCCTCCACCCCCTGCTTCTTTATTTTTTTTTTTCTCCCACATTTTATTTATTTATTTTTGAGACAGGGTTTTGCTATATAGTGCAGGTAGGCCTTGAACTCACTAGGTAGTCCAGGCTGGGCTCAAACTCCCAGCGATCCTCCTGCCTCAGCCTCCCAAGTGCTGGGATTGCAGGCATGGGCCACCCTGCCTCTTTTTATTTTATTTCTTTTGGTACTGGGGATTGAACTCGAGACCTTGTGCTTCCGAGGCAGGGGGCAGAAACACTGAGCTAAATCCCTGGCCCAGCCTCTTTTTATTTTAAAACAATCTCACTAAATTGCCCAGGCTGGCTTTAAACTTGCAATCCTGCTTCACCCTCCCAACTAGCTGGGATAATAGGAGTGCACCATCACACCTAGCCCAAACCTCATAGCATCTCAATCAACTTTAGAATCACAGAACCTCAAATGTTTGGTCTGATCTTCTAGTAGCCCAGAAAAACTTATGCGCCTGCCCCCACAGGGAGCTCACTGTCTCTAAAGACAGCAGGTAGTTAGCAAGTTTTCCACAGCACCAAGTCCCAGTTTGCCTCTTTGTAATGCTTTCTGAAAACTGTAAGAGTCAGCTTGTGGCTGGAGGGCCTGGCCTCGGACCCTGATAACTCTCTGAAGCCAGAGAGCAGAGAAACAGGAACACCTAGACTGTGTGGCTACCTGGCCACAGAGTCTGAGAGCCACACAGAGCAGACTGAAGAGATGGAAAGAAGAACCCAGCTCATTGAAGGAGCTGGTGTTACCCAGTGGTGGGGGTGAGGCAGGAGATTAGGGCATGGCAGACTGGCAGGGGAAGTAGGCACGACCTGTTAATTGCAGAATCCCAGAGCACATGTGCAAAACAGTTCCCAAAGCCCTGCTTATGGAGTTCTTGCAGAACCTGAGCGGTTTTGGAAAGGATGGCCTAGACCTGACATGAGGTGTGGGAGATACAAAATCTGCTATGGTGTTCTGTTCTTATTCTGCAGGGAGCCCTTCTTTCTTTCTTTCTTTCTTTCTTTCTTTCTTTCTTTCTTTCTTTCTTTCTTTCTTTCTTTCTTTCTTTCTTTCCTTCCTTCCTTTCACCAAAGATCGAACATGGGCCCTTGCACTTGTGAGGCAGGCAGCGGAACCACTGAGCTATAATAAATGTAAAATCTCACTTTCTCTTGGGCTTGTCTTGACCAATTCTTTGCTCAGGAGACTGCAGCACCCTCCAACCTGGTAAGAGTAGGAAGCTAAGCACAGCATGGGCAGAGCTCCTGTGGCCCCAGTGCCTGGCTGACAGCTCTTAGCACCACTTGCAGCATTCCCTGCCGAAGCACTCACCTTTAACATGAGGACAGAGACTGGAGCTCAGCCAAGCGTGTGGGCCTCCAGAATTGTCAGCTCGTTAAGGCCCAGGAGCATCCGGCTGCAGGTCTGCCCTTGCACCTAGTTCAACTCCCCAACTCAGAGCCAGGATGGCAGGGGAGTGGGTCCTAGCATCCCTAGGTTCAAATGTGACTCACATTTGGCACCGGGATCTGGACAGCTCTTCCTCTGCTGGCCTCAGTTTCCCATCTGGAGATCGGGGAGAGTTTTGTATAGATTCACTGAGATGGCTGTGCACAGACTGCCTGAGCCACCCTCTACCTCCAAGGCCTCACAGGGCTGGCCTGGATCCAGCACCTATGTCTGTAGCCACCTCTGTCCCTGCCTGCTGAACAGCTCAGAGCAGAGGCCTCGAGTGCCTCCCATCCTGGCCATTCTGTCCTCTCTGCCCACAGAACCCTCTCCAGGTGGCATTTATCACATCACCGGGTAATTATCTGCCGTGTCTGCAAGCTCCAGGGAGTTGAGGGAGAAAGGCTGAGTTGTGTCTGTGTCTCAGGCCCCATCCCATCACAGGGCCCGGTCTCCAGGAGAACCAAACCATCCCGTCTCAGGCCTCTTGGGTCACACCCCAAGCCCGCCTGTCCAAACACAAGAACCTATGACTTCACTGATGCCCACGCTGCCCAACACTTTCCACACACACCCTGCTTGGCTCACCTAGGCTTCCAGAGCTGTTGGGAGCTCTGTCTGTCGTGGTGCCTCTTCTGCCTCCCTGGCCTCTTGGATGCTGGGCTGTTAGAACAGTGAGTCTGACTGAACCCACTGGCTGAGGTTTCAGATACCCAGGTCGACAAGCCCAAACCTGAGGTAAGCAACTACCTTCCCCGGGCCTCCCTGGCCACACAAGCCAGAGTCCAGCCCCACATGGGACTCCTAAGTCCTCACTCATCCTTTCCAGTTGTTCCAACCTTTAGTACACCCCCTCTCAGCTGCATTTGATCTCCCAGCCTCCACAGCCACCCCTATCACTTGGTTGGCTCCTAGTCATAGGTTGCAACTTTGCTGTTGTTTACCTCATGCCCCCCCAGTGCTTAGCATGCAAATCCGAGCAAGTTCCTCCCCAACTAAAAAACCTTTCAAAGGCTCCTTTTGCCCTGGAGATAAATTCTTGCCTTGCTGGTTCTTGCCCATTCCTCTGCACTCAGTGCCCCCTCCAGGAATTTTTGTAGGGCTACCACCATGGTGGGAAGCACTCTTCCTTCAGACCCCCACCTCGATACCATCTCCAGAGCCCTCCTTTGTCTCTGTCCCAGCTGCCCCACTCTGTGAGCTGGCTTTACTGCCACCTCATGTCTGCCTTAGTCTCCAAAGTACATGTAGTGTCCAGTAATCATCACTGAATGGACAGATGCTGGCCATGGGCTGGCTGGGAAGACTCAGTATAAAACCAGAGAAGAGGGGCTAAGGTGCAACTCAGTGGCAGACAGCTTGCCTAGTACGCACAAGGCCCTGGGTTCAAACCCTAATACCACAAAAGAAAAAGGAAAGCCGTAGAATATTTGTCAATAAAATGTGCTGGGCTGCTGTGTGCTCCATGACACCTATGCCAGATGGGCATTTTATTTTCCTCATTTTACAGAGGAAAACAGAGGAAACAGGTTTGCGGAGGCTGTGATAGTAGGTTGAACAGTATCTTCCCCCAACCCAAGTTCATGTCTACTTGAAAGCCCAGAATCTGACTGACCTTATTTAGAAAGAATCTTTGCAGAAGTAATTAGATAAGATGAGGTCATGCTGGATTAGGGTGGACCATAAATTGAGTAACTAGTGCCCTTATAAACCACAGGAAGAGAATCACAAGGGGGAGAGAAGACCATGTGACAAAGGAGGCAGAGTTTAGAATGATGCTTTTTTGAGTTAAAGAATTTAAGGATTGCCGGAAACCACCAGGAACTGGAAGAGGCAAGGATGGACCCTGGCTCAGAGCCTCAGGCAGTACAGCCCTGCCTACTTCTTGATTTCAGGCTTATCTCCAGAACTGTTGTTTTAAGCCACTGACTTTGTGGTAATTTATTATAGCAGCCACGGGAAACTAATACAGCTGCCTACCTATCTATGGTCACACACTCAACAAAGGGCAGCCCAGGGGATTTGAATCCAGACCCTGCGCATATACCTGTGACAGCCCCACCCCATGCCTCCCTCAGCCCGATGACAATTCTTGGTCCTACAGAAGACTGACAACCCATCCCTGTAGAGCAAGCATAAGGGAAAGTTAGTCTCCGTAGAATTTCTATCTGACTCCTTCCTCCTAGTGAAGGTTCCAGAAACTATTCGGCATCTTGTTTGTTATGGTTAGCAGGAAGCTCTGTGTCACTTGGCTACTTCCCGAGATAACACCAGCACTGAGTTGCCCTTCCAACTTGGATGAAAAGAGGGTCCAAAGATGGGGTATGTCCAGTTTCAGTCCCAGCCACAGCTCTCCACTCAACCTGCAGTTCACCCAGACCTCGGTTCCCCATCACTCCAACTGGGTCACATATGGATAACTGAGGACTTAGAACACCCAAAGTGTGGCTGTCACCAATACCTCTCCTCAAAGCCTGGAGTTTGGCTGTATCCACCCTATATGACTCAGGTCCCCCACATTCCTACCTCGCTGCCTCACTGGGCTACCCTGAAGGATCCAGGGCCACCCCCTGAAGCCCCACATCATCCGTAGGGGCTGAGGACAACATTGAAGTGCTCCCCCTACCCGATGGGGTCTCCACAAACTGCTGTCCAGGGCAACTCCAGGGAGGACCAGCAGCCTTAATACACGTGGAGGCTGGCAGAGTGGAAGGATGTTCCCACCCCTAAGTGGACAGCTCTCTCCAAGTCAGACTAAGCCAGAAACACTCCCGAGAGCCAGCTCACCCAAGACACCCTCTGCAGCAGGCTAAGGGAAGCCCATCCAGGAATATGTGCCCAGACACCAGCCTCCCTCCTTTCCTGGAAAAATGTCCTCCAGGAATTTCTCCAACAGGGACACAGAGGTGGGGCTGGGGCAGTTCTCTGCTTTCCACAAGACTATGTTTCTGGGCATCCCCCTATGGCACTGCCTAGGTTGCCCCCTTCCTGACACTAATGCTCAGCCCTCTCTCCCCTCATTTCTCCCTCCTACCTCAGTCTTCTCACATTCAAGGCGACAATGTCCAGGCCTGGCTCAGCCTCTGGAATGACATGGTCAGGATCTGGGAACCATCCAGGTCTGGCCCCAGTGCTCTGGATACAGGGGAGGAGAAGGAGGGCTTACCTGGCAGGCAGCTCTGGACAGGGGATCTGAGAGGTCCCTCAGGTACTAGGGCTACTGCTTAAAGCTCTGGCCCCATCCCAGTGTCAATTCAGCAACAGCGCATTGGCCCTGGGGAAAGGCTGACTGGGCAGTCACGAAGGCTTGTCAGGGAGGAAACCTGCTGTGCCAAGGTGGCCCCAGGACAATACTGGCTGCACAGGAGGGGAGGGGAGGCTGCTTGGGAGAAGGGGGCACAGGAATTGGCCCAACAGGAGTTGGAGGATCAGAGGTTGGTTGAGACTATGCCATTCTGTTGTCCTCTGCCTAAGGGGTTCATTGCAGGGATCACAAAGCCTGGCACCCTGAAGGCCACGCCCAACCCCTGGGCGAACAATGCTTGACCCAAAGAAAGCATCCTGACAGTTGTCAGTCACTATAGGCCCTCGGGCAGATTTCCTGTCATGCACACTTGCCCAGCAAGGTATCCCAGCCTCACAGGCCTCAAACATACTCCTCTTCTCGGGGAAGGAGGGTTGGGGCTCAGTGCCACAAATGTCCCCCACCCAGGTAATGTGAGGAGCCCGGAACTGGTGTAGGGGGCTTCAGGGAGCAGGAGGCCTCCAATAGGGACTGCTGTGGAAGGCCCCATCAAGCTGGGTGGGTTCCTGGAGGAGCAAGGGCCCCCTCCTCACACTGAGGGCTGTCCCTCCCCTTGTCAGGCAGGAAGTCTGGAGCCAGGGGCAGATGCAGCTGGCCCACTGCCAGCCTGCCCAGAGCTGGGCTTAACAGTTCACCAGTGGGCCTCAGCAGGCCTGCTCATCTTCCAGGGAAGGGGTCTGAGAGGGCGGGCTCCAGGGGAAGAAGGGAGTGGGATTAAGTATTTGTCAGTGCCTTAGTATGTATGCAGTGTGGACAGGTCAGACACAAATGCCTACTGCAGGGGCGATTCCTGAAAGCAGGTGCTGGGATTGAATCGTGCTGCCAAAAGGCACCCCCACCCCCGCCTGCTGCCTGCTGCGCTCTTTGCTTGTTCAAAGCGACTACTGCCCCAGGCAGCACTGGAGCAGAGCGTAGAGAGGTGCCAAACGCCACCACGTCCTGGCCAGCTCAGCGTCTCTCTGGGAAGAGCTCCAACGCCAGGTCCAATGCGGGCGGGGCCCTCTTCAGCTACACCCTTGCTAAAGCGAGGAGCCCCCCTACCCCCACGCCGGATCTGCAGAGCCCGGGCGCCCAGCCTTGGAGCCGGCGCTCCGCACCCCGCGCACCCGGGGCCAGCCGGGGAGGGGCGGGAACGGGGCGGGGTGCGGCGCAGACCGCCCAGCCTCCCGCCCGCCTGCCCGGTGCCCGCCTCTCTGCGGCCATGGGGGCGCGGCTGGGTCGGCGGGCCGGGCCCGAGGCGGGCTCAGGGGCCGGGGCGGCGGCAGGCAGCGGGCCCGCTCCCTACGAGCGCCGGGTGCGCTGGCTCCGCGAGATCCAGTCCACTCTCCGCGAGCGGCGGCCGGAGCGCGCCCGGCAGCTGCTGCGCCTTCTGCGCCAGGCGAGAGAAGGAGCGGGCGGCCGGGGATGGGCTGGGAGGGGCCGGGGCTGCAGGCTGCGGGGAGGGTGGGTTCCGAGGGCAAGATGGGCTGCAGGGGCTGAGGAAGAGCGCGGGCTGGAGAGACCGCTGGTGAGGCTGGCAGACTGTGCACGGAGGAGAGGGCCGCTGCGTCAGGGCTCTGTCTGGGGTCTGTTGTGTGTTGAAGGTGCCCCGGCCTGGAGTTGAGCCCACATTCAGGCCTTGGGAGGGAAAGAAGAGGACTGGATGGGGGTGTATTGAAGGACAATGGGAAGAGGGCAGCTTCTTCCTCCTCCAGACGAGGGGAAGCACTGGACTCTGGGAAGTGACAGCCCAGATGGTCTGCAGGTGCACACGGAGGCACTATGGCAGTGCAGACAAAGCCACAAGGCATGCATCCTCCTAACAGGCAGCTGGTTCCCACTGAGTACACAAGGCCAGTGTCTGCACATCACAGTGTCATATTTGGGCAAGTGAGGACTCTGGTTCCACATCAGGTGCTCTAGCCTGAGATCCTGAGCCTTGAGCTCAGGGATGTGGGGTCCAGCACCACCCCATGGGTGAACTACTTCTCACTCTACCTAGTTCCCATTCCCTGCAGCAGCTGGCACCACCTGCCCAATCCTGTAGCTGAAATCAGCCATGCGTGCAGATGTTTAGCCTCTAGAAGGTAGGTGGGTGGAGATGGGGAAACTGAGGCATGGAAAGAAGTGGTCCACAGAGGAAACTGGGAGAGTGGGAGCCAGGCTTAGAGGAGGCCTGCTCCTCCTCCAGCCCCAGGTTTCCTTTCTTTGAGCTCAGTGGGCTGGAAAGGTGGAGCTGGCCCTTTAAGCGGAGCTGTCCAGACCAGTGAAGGCAGGCTTTGGTCTGGGGCCCTGTCTGGGTCTGCCCACTCACCAGCCTCCCCTTCTTCCTTCTGGAATCTCCCTAGCTGGCATCTGTGGCTTGAACCATGTTGAAAATACAAACAGCTGTGCAGTACCCAATCATCCAGACTAACCAGAGGCACAGACTGCTGTCTGGGATGGTGTCTGGAGCCCAAGGCACCAGCTGGGCATTCTCCCTGGAAACAACAGAGAGAGAAGGCCACTTCAAAACTAGCTGGGTCACCGCTTTGTGTTTCAGCAGTTGAGATTTGAACCTTAGCAGAGGGTTCTTCTGCCCCATAACCAGCAGGAGCAGTTGCTGGCCTGTCTTTCTGTGGCCAGGATGACTACACAGGGCATGTCATTGTCTTGGGCTTAGGGAGGGCACACAGAGGAGGCTGGAGGCTCCTCCTGGCTCTGCCTGGGCCAGCAGCTGTCAGTGTGTCCTCTAAATGGACCCTCTGGAAGGATGTTTCGCTCTACAAGAATGGAGAGGAGAAAGCAAGAACCAAAGGCAGGAAGGCCAGGTCAGTGCCCTGGCCATAGATCTGATCGAAGGGTAGGAGGAGGGGCAGGCACAGGGAGTGCAGAGCCTGCAGACTGTGTAAGTCTCTGATTTCACTTCCAGAGCACTTGATCTGCACCAAAGGGGTTGAGGATCAAGTTCAGGTGTGTATTTCAGAGATGCTCTAGCAGCCCTGAGCTGGAGGGATGTGGGAGGCTGGAAACCCTGGGAGGGGGCCCATAGGGGTGGAGCCCTGAACCTCGGCTAGAGCAGTAGAGAGGAAAAAGTGGGCTCACTAAGTGAGCTGGGGGAGAGAGGGCAAGGGAAAAGGGCTGGGTGATTTCTGGGAAAGTGGGCAAGGTTGCCCCCCTCCCTCCGTGTACTGAGCTGGCACACAGGACATGAGGCCAGCTTCAGGGCAGGGGATGAACATGCGGAGTCTGAGTGTTTTTGGAACATCCGAGCTGGGAGACAGGCCCATCCCCACAGGGTGGAATGTTGACTGCAGCTTGGGAGACCTCAGGGATAGGAGGGAAGGCAAAGGGCCCCAAAGGAATCTTGGAGAAATCGCCATTCAAAGGAGCAGACAGCCCCAGAGAAGGAAAGGTGCCACAGCAAGACACGCCACCACCGGTAATCTGTCTATGGCCTCCATGAAGGCCCTGGTGTGCCACCCGCTCCTCATCCAAAGGTCCACCTGCTGCTATGTCACTGTCTTGGGGAGACTCTAGCAAGCCTCAGGGAGGGAGGTAGGGCCATAGGAAGCAATAGGAGGGTCATCTGGTTGACTGGCCCGGAGAAAGAAGGCTCCAATCTCTGACTCACTCACCTACTTTTTCATCACCCACAGGATCTGGGCCTTGAGGGGACCCTCCTCACTGACATCCTCTACAGGAATGTGACCTTCCTCAATCTAGTGGACCCCATCTCCCATGACCTGCTGGTGAACCTGGCCCGGGACCTGCAGTGCCCCAAGAAGGTAAGGGTAGACTCATTTCCACAGTGGCAGCACTGTGCCCAGGCCTGGGGACACTAGCTGAGCAGAAGTTACATGGGGACCCTGTAGGACGTTGTTCTGACAAATTCACTAAAAACTGGACTCGAAACCTCTGAGTTCCTGAGGCAGAAGAGGATGGAGCCCCGTTTACTTATCTCTATCCTGCTTGGACAGCCTTGGGGATGGTGCTCTCTGTCCCTCCCATGGCAGCTTGAGTCATAGGCATGTCCCTCCTCATGTTAAATTGGAGCCTACCACCTGTCACCTTCACCCTCTGCCCCGACAGCATCTGCCGATGTCCTTCCATGACCAGGGGCACAGCCCCAGCCTGTGTGGACCAGCTCCCGAGCCCTGGTCACAATGAATCCTCTAAATGAAACAAGGGTACCCACTGTAGGCTCTGCCATCTCTGGCGTCAGATACAGTTGGCTACCCACAGCTATTGAAGTAACCACCAGGGCTTGCTCTCTCTGTGCGTGTCGAATGCTCCTGGTGCTATTAACAGAGGGACTGTATAAAGGAATATTCCAGGTAATGGAGCATGACTGGTGCCAGCTTTGTGAAAAGCTCACCCTGTTATTCTACCCCCAGCTGGGCCTCTGCAGGGGCCCAGTTAGGACTGTGCGAGACAGGATGTAGTGCTGTAAAACATTACACCCCCAGCCCTATCAGCCCAGACCGAGGCACACAGGCATGGTGTAGCTTGGAGAACGAGAGGAAGAAGAACATGCTGACCTGGCTTGTTCCTATTCCCTGGGATTGGCGTCAGTGGAGCAGGGCTCCCTCGAGGGGCCTGGTCTGGACCCCCTGTGGCAAGTCCCCTGGGGGTGCAGAGGGTGAGCAGGCCACCAGCTGCTCGCTGAAGCTGCCGGCCCTGGGCCTGAGAACAGAGAACAAGGGCCCATTGTCTGGGCTTTGGACCAGCCCGTCCAGCTCTCAGCAGGCAGCCTCCCCTGGCTCTGGGCCAGATCAATCCATGGTGGGGGTGAGAGGGGCTTGGTCTCACCCTGACAACGCTGCCCCCCACCCCACAGGACTATGAGCTCTGGAAATCCTCGGACAAGATCTGCCGGCAGCTCATCTACCACCTCACCCCTCATTCCAAGCGGGAGCGAGGACCCAGCCTCCCCCAGAGGAAGACCCCGAGCTGGTAAGGGGAGCCCAGCCACAGCCCCTCTTCACTGTCTCTTCAGCATCCCTTTCAAGGTTGTTACCAGAACATCTCTCACTGAGAGTCTGCCGCTTACAGTCTCACCCTGCCCTTTGCTCATCTTCATCTGCACTGAGTCTCCATCCCTGGAAGCCAGTCTGGCCCATGGCAGCAGATGCACCCCAAGCCAAGCTGCCTTCTCTGTATAAAATGCCTTCCATTTCCTCCAGGATGGTCCACCTGCTGTCATTCACTCATTCCTCAATCCCTGACCTATCTCAGGGCCTGGACCCCCTTCCCTACCTGCCACCCGAGATAACTCAGCAGGTGTCAGGTAAATCTTCATAACCAGTGGTGAGGGGGCCACATTCTGTGTCACTATTCCCATTGGACAGGAAAGAAACTGAGGCTGGGAGAGACAAAGTCTTGCCAAGACACTCTCCCTAATAGTCCTGCAGCCCTTTGAGAGTTCACCAACACCAAGCTGCTAGACACTGAGGCCCCCAGGATACCAGATAGCTCACTGCTGTGGGGTCCCACCCTCGTCATTCCACAACAGCCTCATGCATAGAGGCCCAGCCCAGAAGTCGCTGCAGGCCCAGGGCCCCAGAACCACAGTCAGGAATAGGCCCTAGCACATGTCTCCTATTGGTCTCCTACCTCCTTCTGTCCCTCTGATGGCCCAAGAGGAATCTGGAGCCCACGTATTTGTTCCAAGGGAGACTCTCCTCAGTCTCCAAGTGTCTCTCCCAACTTAGAACACAGGGAGTCCTCCCCCCTGGACAAGTCCTCACCCCACCCCACTAGCACTTGCCCCCTCACTACCCAAAGGCAAGGGGACCAGCCTGATACTCCATCTCCTCATGGGAAGCTTTTCCCTCACGCTGATGGACCAGACTTCAGAGCAGGCCCAGGGAAAAAATGTGGGCTAAGGAGTCAGAGCACCTCGACTTCAGGCCTGTCCCCTCTTAGTGATATGTGGTCATTGGAGAGTTATTTCGCAACTCTGAGCATCAGTTTGCTCCTCAGTAGAATGAGTCATTATTCCTATCCCCTTGGCCTGGCATAAAAATAAGTGAGATAACAAATATAACAGAGGTGGTGATGCTGGCCACAAGGTAAGGTTTTGTAATAATAGAGTAAGTCCCTGACTTACAAACGAGTTCCATTCCGGGAGAATGTTTATAAGCTGGATTTGTTCGCAAGTCTGACAAAGTGAGTCTTATATGAATCTGTGAAAGTTTGCAACTTGAATGTTCATAGGCCAGGGACTTACTGTAATAGTTCAACCATGGAACCTTCATTTAATCTTCACAGCAGCCTTGTCCCATTTCACCAGGAAACTGAGGCTCAGAGAGGTTCCCAGCATGCCCTTGGCCACACATTTAGAAAATGGCAGTTGGAACCTGACTTTGCCAGGCTGGGCCTGGGCTGTCGCTGATGGATCATTGTCTGTGGTCACCAGGGTCCTGCCTAGCCCCAGGGCCCTTGCTTAGGCCATCCCAACCGCAATCTTCCCACAGCCTCAAGAGCAGCCTCCAGAAGACTCTGCCGGGCGGGGAGACTGTGGACCTTTCGGGCATCCCGCTGTCAGCGAGAGACGTGCAGCACATAGCGCGCTACCTGGGCAGCCATGGCGCCGGGCTGGCAGTGCTGGACCTGAGCTTCACGGGGCTGAGTGATGAGCTCCTGCACCTGCTGCTGCCCAGCCTTTGGCTGCTACCCCACCTCACCCAGCTCCTGCTCAACGGCAACCGGCTGACTCAGGCTGCTGCCCGTGAGCTCACGGAGGCAGTCAAAGACACCACCAAATTCCCTGTGTTGGCCTGGGTAGATCTGGGCAACAATGTGGATGTGGCCTCACTGCCCCAGCCCCTGCTAGTCGGCCTGCGCCGGCGGCTGAGCCAGCGCACCTCGCTCCCCACCATCTACGAGAGTCTGGACTTTGAGGCTGGGGATGGCATAGCTGGGTTCCCCACTGCTGCCTCTACTTGGGGCTCTGCAGCTGCTGACCCAGGGCCTGAGCCCCAGGCCTGCTGTGCCAGGTGACCTGCCACTCACCTCAGTCTGTACTACTGATTGAGGATGCCCTTGAGCACATGAAACAGCAAGTGGTGGAGGTGCCATGGGCCCCCCAAAGAGCCAGTGAAAATGCTCAGCCTGGGACCAAGGGGATGGGAAGAGAATAGTCTCACAGGAGGCCAGGCAGATGGCCCACTTAGGAGGCTCGGCCTTCCCTCAGCAGGAGGGGTCCTGGGACCCACACTGCAGACCCCACAATAAAGTGATGACCCTCTTTGCCTCAGCCTTTCTGCATCACAGACCTAAGGTCCCCCAAGTGCCAGCTTGGCTGCTATGGTGGAGTAGCTCCTGTCTATGCCAAAGTGAGGGGGCAAAGTCATACTGATCTTCCCCTTGGTGTTCCCTGGTGGGCCGAAGAGACCCACCTGTGGGGGTCATGAGTCCGCCAGTGTGGGCTGGAGATTGAGAGGAGGCCCTCACGTCTGGGCAGAGTTTGGGCTGTATAAGTAGGGGAGCTGAGGGGGAGCAGGTTGGGAGCCTGGGGTGGGGTGCAGAGCTCTGCATGGAACCCCACAGCACACTCACGTGTGAGCCCCTGCTTCCATCAGGACAGGGCTGCACTGGCTGGGCTAAGGCCATAGCTGACTGGAATGAGAGGACTCAGGGCTGGCACAGTGCTGCCTACACCCTCCAATCCCCAAGCCTCCACTAGTGAGTAGGCCACTCAGTGGAGTTAGGAGATGCATCTGGCCAGAGACAAAAAGCTGTGTTTCCTCCAGGGCCTGGGGTTCCCCACACAGCACACAGTGGGTAGAGGTGAGCACAGTTAGCAGCAGGAGAGGTGGGGGCACGACAACCCTAAGGCTGCACCTGTAGGTGGCATTCTCTCCCTTCCTCCCCAAGGACCCTAAAAAAGATGGGCTCCCAAAAGGAGCCTAGTGCCACGGTCACCCTCGCTGTCCTATGTGAGGAGCTAGAGTTCAGCCCAACAAGCAGATAGGTAGACAAGCAAGAGAATTATTTAGAGATGTCCCGGGGGAAACAGAGGGCTTAGTGGAAAAGCCAGTGGCGTCAGGTTCCTGTGCCAAGCCAAGATATAGGTCTGGGGTCATGGGCTCCTGCTAGATGAGAGAGCTGGCAGCAGAAGGAGGCCCCAGGGCTAAGGAAAAGGAAGGGTCCCCCTGGGCCTGTGTACCCTGCCCCACTAGTCCTGACCTTCCTTCACGTCACTGAGCCTCTAGGGCCAGAGGGCCAGGGCCAGGGCCTCCAGGGATGTGAGTGGTATATACATCCCCCATGGGACATGGATTTCACTATGTCCCCAGATCGGTTGGATGCACTACAGCTTCCCAGGACATAAGGGGTTAGCCAAGAAGGGAGAGGGCAGAGATTTACCGTCAAGCCCCACAGAGCTCACAGCTTTTGGCGATTCCTTATCAGGAGGCCGTGGGAAGAACACAGGGTCCAGCCTGGCTCTGCTTCTGACTTGCTAAAGGGATGACCAGCCCCTTCCCCTCTCTGGGCCTCATTCTCAGCTCTCTTCTCTCTGTTAAATAGTGCTTACTGTCTCCAGTCTCTCCCGGCTGTCAATGCTTCATCCTGGGGTCCTGACACCGAACTTGTTTCAAAGACGTGGGCCTGCCCCGTAGCTCAGAACAGTGGAAGTTCCTCCCAGAATGGGGCTTGAGCTCCCCAGAGCCAGGCAAAGTGGGATGGAAGGTAGACCAGCGGAGAGAAGGAAGGGAGGGCCAGCCTTGGGCCCGGCAGGCTGAAAAACCCGTCACGTGCACAGGCAGCTGAATGTTCCCCTAAACTCCTTGCTGGAGGAAGGCCAAGCTCTCTATGTTCCTCCTGCCCTCCTCACTCCCTGCCCACATCTGGCCGGAAGCCAGCCCACAAACCTTCAGGTGTTACTGCTCAGAGAAATTCCTGCCAGGATGGTTCAAGAGCACCGGAGCCACATGTCCCAGGAAGGCTCCGGAAGAATCCAGGTGGCAGCAGATGGTCTCAATCTCTCTGCTGTTTGGACAGAGGGATGCAAAGCAGTACTGTAGCCGAGCCAGAGCATGAGACAGCATAAGAGATGTAGAGAAGAATAGCCTTGTTGCTAGGCAGGTGTTCACAACCGTTCACAGGTCCTCATGACCACCAGTAAGGCCTCTCCACAGGAGGAAGTGGGGGCTTGTGCCTTAGTCTGCTTTGTGCTGCTATACTAGAATACAGCATCCTAGGTAATTTATAAAGAATAGAAGTTTATTTGGCTCATGTATCTGGAGGCTGGAAAGGCCAAGATTGAAGGCTGCATCTGGTCAAGGCCTTCTTGCTGCTTAACGTGACAGAGGCATCACATGGTGAGAGGACTCAAGAGAGCAGGAGGGGGCGGAACTCGCCCTTATTACAAAACCACTGTGGCCATAAATGAGATTAATCTGTCCGTGAGAACACAAGCCCTCACTTCCTCCCTTCCTCACTTCCTAGAAAGCTGCTTTAAAGGCCTCACCACTCAAAACTGAGTGGGGACTGAGTTTCCCACACATGCACTTCGGGGGAAGCATTCAGGCCACGGCCTGACTCACGCAGCCGGGTGGGACAGAGAGCACCAGGCAAGGCAGTTCCAGTCCCAGGTCCAGACTAAACAAGCTGGGCCTCCTTTGAGTGATGGAATTGTGACCAAGACTAGGCCGGTTTGCTTTCAAGACTGGTTAACCCATTGGTGGGTTAGTTCACGGCTGAATGGTCTAGTGGAGGAAGTGGGTCATGGGTGCGTAACCTTGGTGACTATATCCTGTCCCTGGCCCTTTTCTCACTGGCTCTTCCCCTTCTCTCTGCTTCCAAGCTGCCATGACTTGAGCAGCTTTTCTCTGCTATGGTTTTCTGCTATGATCGTTCTGCCTCAGGGCCAGCCAACCATGGATTGAAATCTTGGATACTATACTAGGTGTGGGCCAGGGATTTAGCTCAGTGGTTCTGCCACCTGCCTCAAAAGCACGTGGTCCCGAGTTCGATCCCTAGTACCAAAGAAAAAGAAACTCTACTAGGTGTGATGGCACACACCTGTGATTCCAGCACTCGGGAGACTGAGGTAGGAGAATTGCCAAAAGTTTGAGCCCAGCCTGTGCTATATAGTGAGTTCAAGGCCAGCCTGAACTACCTAGTGAGACTTTCTCTCAAAGGAAAAGAAAAAGACTCCATCTTATTCCAGAAAGAATAGCTATCTTCAAGAAATAAAATAATAACAAATACTTGAAAAGTTGCAGGGAGAAAAGAATTCTTCTACATTGTTGGTGGGAATGTAAACTAGTATAACCGTTATGGAAATCAGTATGGAGGCCCCTCAAAAAACTAAAACCAGAAATTCTATTCGACCTACCTATTCCCCTTTTAGATATCTTTCCCAAAGAGATAAAGACATGATATTACAGTGACACATGCATACCCATGTTTATTGTAGCACAAATCATAGCTAAATCTTGAAAATAGTCTATAGGTCCTTCAACAGATGAATGGATAAAGAAAATGTGGTATTTATATATAATTTTGCCATAGAAGAAAGATACATTTGAGTCATTTGCAGGAAAATGGGTGCACCTTGAGACTATATTAAGTGAAATAAATCAGATAATGGAAACTTAAATATTGCATACTTTCTCTGATATGAGAAAATGAAAAAATGAATAAAAAGCAAACTTAATAGATATATAATAGGAAAGAGGGAGATAAATCTTTTTCATATGAGAAGGGGATCGAGAGATGAAAGGAAGGGAGAGGAAGGGAGGGAGGGAAAAAGGATGAAAAAAAAATTAAGAGGTGTTAGTACTTGTACCCACTCCCCACAAGAAATGTAGTCATTAAGTAATGCAAACATGTACCAATTAAAAATAAAAACTTAAAAAAACGTTGTGTCAAATGTTTTGTCCCAGCAACTGAAAAGCTGACCGATGCAACTGAGCTACACCCGGACCTATTTATTGTTTGATTGATTTTTTGCAGTGCTGGGGTCACTGTGTAAGAACTCTACTGCTGAATTACCTCTCCAGTGCCCTACTCCATTTATTTATTTAACAAGCCCTTCTGTGAGCTTCCTCTGGCCAGGTACTGTTCTGATAGCTTTATACTTCTATAATTCTCCTAGCATTTTAAGGAGGTGCATGCTATCAGTTTTTAAAAATTTTTCTTGTATTGGTACAGGTTTGCAGTACATAATGATTACTTTCTTTGTGAGGAGTTGGTACATGTATATAACACATCTTAATGTTTTTCATCCCTTTTCCCTCCCTCCCTCTCTCTTTCTTCCATTCTTCCACCTTTTTTTTTTTTGGACAGGGTCTTGCTATGTAGTTTAGCCTGGCCTCAAACTCACAGCGATCCTCCTGCCTCAGCCTCCTGAGTGCTGGAATTACAGGCGTGTGCCACCACACCCAGCCTCCTTCCACCTCTTGATACCCTTCTCATTTGAAAAAGGTTTATCTCCCTACTTCCTATTATGTATCTTTTATTTTGCTCTTTATTCATATTTTGATTTTCTCATATAAGAGAAACTATGTGATATTTAAGCTTCCATGTCTGATTTATTTCACTAAATATTATAGTCTCAAGGTACATCATTTTCCTACAAATGATTCAAATTTATCCTATTTTATGGCAGAGTAATACTCCATTATGTATAAATACCACATTTTCTTTATCCAGTCAACTGTTGAAAGACCTATAGGCTACTTCCAAGATTTATTTATTATGATTTATGCTGAGATAAACATGGGTATGCATGTGTTACAGTAATATCATGTCTTTTAACTCTTTCAGAATGATACCTAGTTTTAATGGAACTTCTGGTTATAGTTTTTTGAGGAACCTCCAAACTGATTTCCACAGTGGTTATGCTGGTTATATTCCCACCAACAATGTAGAAGAATTCCTTTCCCACTGCAGCCTTGCAAATATTAATTATTATTTGTTTGTTTGTTTGGTTGGTTTTTTGAGACAGGGTCTCACTATGTAGTTTTGGCTGGCCTCAAGCTCACTATGTAGCCCAGTCTGGCCTCGAACTCACACCCTCCTGCCTCAGCCTCCCGAGCGCTGGGATTACAGGTGTGCACCACCATGCCCAGCTATTATTTGATTTCTTGATGATAGCAATTATTTCTGGGCAAAAATGAAAAATCTCTTGGTTTGTTTTAACTTCCATTTCTCTAATGGCCAGAGAGGTTGAACATATCTTCATGTATCTAATGGCCATTTGTGCTTCTGAGAGGTGTCTATTCATTTCAGTTGCCTATTT